AGCAACCTGGTCTGGTGGGAGGTGTCCCTGCCCAGGACAGGGGGTTGGAACTGGATGGTCTTTAAGGTCCGTATCCTCATGCACAAAATCCTCTACCTTACTAGATACCGAGGAGATGACAATATGAACTAATCCAAAAAGAGGCCCAAAGCCCTCAGACCACATTAGATACCAGCGTGCCTTCAAGGGTGGTGGAATTAGGTAACACAGGGAGGGCACCACAGGAAACCTGATAAGAAAACTCATCTCAATGTGAGTTTTGGATGGTCCAACACCATAAGCAAGGCCCAGGACCACAGGCTGATGCTGAACATTAAGGCCCCACGTTCTGGCTGAGAAGGTTCCTTACAGACACTTACTGCGACCCTGGTGTTCTCTTGTTTTGCGGGCATTGAGTGTACCAGCAGAGATTGTGTTTTTTGACCTGAGGGCTGGGTATTGGTGTGGAGAATGTTGGGTACAGCAGAACGTACCACGTTCCTATCCAGAGGAGGCAGAACAGCAGCTGTTGGGCCTGGAGAGGACAACAAAGCAAGTTGTAAGAGCTCCTGTTTGCCCAAGGTGTAGATCACAGCCTCTTGCCGGGCCACCTACACCCACCTCTGCCCTGCCGACAGGAGAAATGTTCTCCCTTTGCTCTGGAAGGATCTTGATTATACCTTCACCCCCTTCAACCTCCTCCTTCACCCTCTGAGGAGGCTCTGCCTTGATTTCTCCCACCTGAGACAGCTCAGCTAATCACCCGCCTCCCCCTCGGCACTTGCCCACACGGCTGGGGAGGAGGCTTCTGGCCACCCAGCCGGGGTTGAGAGGCAGCCAGGAGACTTTGCCCAGCCCCGTCTCCAGCTCCTGCTTTCAGTAACGTCCCTGTTACACAACATGGCAACAACACACCGGCAGCAGCCCCGCTTCCCACGGCCCTCGGTGCCAGGGTTACCGCAGTCAGGAATCAAACCCCACTTTAGTTTTTCTTTTTTTATTTTGGCTTGTGATTTTCTCTCCTTCTCAGCCCCTGCAGAACTGCCAAATGGGCAGCCACCAGGCTGAGCAGCACCTTTGCTACATGGAGATCTACCTCTGCTGTGGGGAGGCTGACTGTCCCTGTCGAAGAGCCCTAGAATCATGGAATGGTTTGGGTTGGAAGGGACCTTAAGGATCATCCAATTCCACCCCCCTCCCACAGGCAGGGACACCTCCCACCAGCCCAGGTTGCTCAAAGCCCCATCCAGCCTGGCCTTGGACACCTCCAGGGATGGGGCAGCCACAGCTTCTCTGGGACACCTGGGCCAACATCTCACCACCCTCACAGGAAAGAATTTCTTTCTAGTATCTCATCTAAATGTCCCCTTTCAGTTTAAAACCGTTCCCCCTCATTCTATTGCTCCCCTCCCTGATCAAGAGTCCCTCCCCCTCTCTCCTGTAGCCCCTTTAGGGTCTGGAAGGGCTCTGAAGTCTCCCTGGAGCCTTCTCTTCTCCAGGCTGAACAAGCCCTGCTACTATAAATGACGAGCAGGAGCAGAGCTGTCTCAGGGGTTTTATTCACAGTCACCTGTTCCTGCAGTTTCTAAACAGCAGCCTCAAACCAGTGAAGTGTTTTGAAACCTAAATCCTTGCCACAGCTCCTAAAAGGGGAGGTTTCTTGTCTGGTTTGGAGCTTTTCTCCGAGGTGCCACCTCCCGTAGCGAGGTTTGCGGCCGCCGGGGCTCCCCAGGGGAAGCTGGAAAGTGGGGAGTCCCGGCAGGCGGGGAGGAAAGCACAGGTCCTGCTGCAACATGTACCCAGCAGACACAAGTCCCATCCCCACAGAGCACCAGCCTCTGCTCTGCAGACATTAAACACAGGCCAGAGACGGGGATTTGAGATGGAACACGGTGATTACGAACCTAAGAGAGTTGCCAGAATTTTAACCCCGGACTGCACAGTGTCTGGCAACCCCATTTCACTCCTGTTAAACACAGCCATCTGCATATAAAAGGAAATAACAACATTCATAACTTTACCTTCTAGAGAAATACAGTCAAAAACTGCTTCTTTTTAAAGAAAATTAGTAAGTAAAATAAGTAAAAATACAAAAACTAGTAAGCATATTAATCCCAGCTTTTTCTTTTTTGTTCACAAGATATTCAGGTTTCCAGGTTAGTTTGGTTATGAAAGCCTCTAAAGACAAATTATGTAAGTTTCCCTACACTAAACATCCAGTTTGCAACAACAGCAACAAAAAAAAGAATTAATTATGATGTTTCTTTCAGCCTCCCAAAGTCACGCTGATGGGAACGCTAATCAGAGATTGCAGGCACTTACATTTCCAGCCCTTACCTGCTGTAGGTGGATTTCGTTGAGCAATAAGATTTATAACTTGATCATGATGCAACACCAGGCTGGATTCACTCGCCTGCTAACGAGATGGGATGTGGGGACTGTCCTGCCACAGCTGGGTGGTAATTAGGGCTTATCACTGATAGGTCTAGGAAAAGGCTGGGAAATACTTCAGCTTGTTTTGCAGTGACTTTGAGCTCTTGGGAAAGGAGTAATGATTCTTCTGTGATGCCAGTGTCCTGCCTGTGCAAGAGAGGTAACAATAAGGTTATTTACACTTATTTCCAATTGATAGGGCTATGTGAAGGCTGACAAAAGATTACTTCCATAAATCTTTCCGGTTTAGTGTCTTTAAAAGCGGGAAATGAGTAGTTTGCCTTCTCAGGCAGCTCAAGCAAAATGTTAATTAAGCAACCGGCTTCAGAGGAACCTTGCAGAACTTGCTCTGGATGATGCCTCTTAACTTGAAATTCTGCTTTTGGCAGCTGCCTGCCAACGCAACGAGCAACTCCGTGTGGGTTTCCCAAAGGAAAAAGAGGATCCTAAAGGTAGTTCCTGCTTGTGGGGAAACAAAGCCTGGTGTTCCTCTCCCCTTGATGAAGACTACAGTTGCTCCACATGAACTATAAGCAGAAGGGCCTCTCGGGCATCTCAGTTACTGCAGAATCTTAAAAATAATTGATGTAATAAGAAGGTAGCTCCCACTCTTGTGAAAACAAGTATTCTAAAAGCAGCTAAAGGTAGAATATAGTCTGTGATTCAAAAAATATCTTGTCCATACATGCTGTCAGCTGGGAAAAAGGGGAAAAAAAAATAATCTACCTGAGTAGCAAAACACCTGTCTCCTTAATGGAGAGCACAGCTGAGCTGCAGAGCAGGTTCCTGTTGAAAGCCCTTCTTCCTCTGCAGGAAGCTGCTCCTCTTCCTCCTCCCATCCTTCAGGAGTGGGGTCTCAAGCTCCTCTTAGAGGAGAACTGCTGCTGGCGAAGTGGAAACTACGCAGCAGCTTTTAAAAAAAATCAGCAGTTTTCCTGAACTGCAGCACTTCAGATTATAAAATGGAGAGTTTTTCATTAGCCTGGAGAAATGCAGCCTTAAATAAACCGCTGCAAAGTAGAGAAAGCTCCCCCCGAGTTCTGATTTTATGTAGTTTTTACTATTAAAACACACACCATTTTGGTTCTTTTGCAGCTTAAGGGAATGGTTATGGAGGGATTTGTATTTTCTATGAATGTTCTTTATTTGGGGCAAATTCAGCCATTTTGGTAAAAGAAAGCCATTTCCTTTTACATTGAACCAATTTTTGCAGAGCTAAATTTTCACAGCCCAAGGACAGTGGGCTCTGGATTTCTTGCTGAGAAAAGCTTTTCTCCCAGGATTTATTCATGATATTTACACTCCGTGTGTATGAACTGGGGGGAGACAGAACTGTTGTGCTGGGATGGTGGGAGTTTTGGTTTGGGTTTGTTGTTTTTTTTTTTTTTCAATTTCCCTGAATACTTTACCCAGTTGTAAGACCTGAAGAGCTTTTAACATCAAGGCGCCAGGAAGCACTTCAGCACAGAGCCCAGACTTCCCGGCCCTTGAGAACTAAGGCTAAGGAGACATCTGGAGAACTGATAGGTCAACAAACCTCAGGTGGATTCCAGTTCAGGTCCTGCTCCTTCCTTAACGGTGTTGTCAACTTACCACGCTCCCTTTGGAATGGTTTCATTCCATATTTGACTTGGGGTAAGAAAAAAAACAGTCATGAGACCTACTCCTGGTGCCAGTCCTTTGAGCATCGGGGTTCTGCCCCCATTAGCCCAGGGCTGGGTGCAGAAGTGATTTTGTTCTTTTTTTGAGTAGTGCCACGATCCAAGTGGTGTCCATATAAAACTGACCCACACGGGGGCCACCTCCGCCCTTTTGGAGATGCTGGCCCAGACTGATGCATGTGACCAGTACCGTATCCAACTAGCACCCCCAAGTCCTTCTGGTCAGGGGTGCTCTCCATCCCTTCACCCCCCAGCCTGGATTTGTGCTTGTTAGGAATTAAGCTAAAGATTTCTTGCCTGGCTTGTGTCTAAGCTTTACTTTTGAAGGTGTGTAGTGTTCACTTCAGATCTGACTTAGAATCATCATAGAATCGTCTAGGTTGGAAGAGACCCTTGGGATCATCGAGTCCAACCATCTCCCCTACTCTACAAAGTCCTCCCCTACACCATGTCCCTCAGCACTGCATCTAAACAGCCCTTAAACACAGCCAGGGATGGTGACTCCACCCCCTCCCTGGGCAGCCTGTTCCAATGCCCGACCACTCTTTCGGTGAAAAATTCTTTCCTAATGTTCAATCTAAACCTACCCTGTTGGAGCTTGAAGCCATTCCCTCTCGTTCTGTCACTAATTACCTGTGAGAAGAGACCAGCACCAACCTCTCTACAGTGTCCTTTCATGTAGTTGTAGAGAGTGATGAGTCCCAACTCCCTCAGCCTCCTCTTCCTCATACGATTTGTTTTCCAGCCCCCTCACCACCTTCGTTGCCCTCCTCTGCACTCGCTCCAGCACCTCCATATCTCTCTTGTATTGAGGTGCCCAAAACTGGACACAATACTCGAGGTGTGGCCTCACCAGTGCTGAGCACAGGGGCACAATCACCTCCCTACTTTCCCTTCTCTTTGCTTTGCAGCCCCTTTTTTTCCCCACGGCGTTTCACTCCTGATGGAAGAGCAGAGCGTTATCACGGAGGTGCCGGCGGCCTTAAAGCGCTTGGCCAAGTACGTAGTGCGTGGTTTTTATGGAGTGGAGTGTTCCCTGGCCCTGGACGTGCTGATCCGCTACCCCTGCGTGAAGGAGGACGACCTCCTGGAGCTGCTCCAGTACGAGCGGAAGCAGCTGCGCACCGTCCTCAACACCCTCAAGGGGGACAAGCTGGTGAAGCTGCGCATGCGGGTGGAAACGGGGCCCAACGGGAAGAGCACCAGGCACAACTACTACTACATCAACTACAAGGTGCTGGTGGACGTGGTGAAATACAAACTGGATCACATCCGCCGCAAAATCGAGGCGGACGAGAGGGATTCAACCACCAGGTCCTCCTTCAAATGCCCCTCTTGCTCCAGCACTTACACGGACCTGGAAGTCAATCAGCTCTTTGATGTGTTCACAGGTAGGTCCCTTATATGGCTTATAAAGAATAGCTCTGATTGATAGCACGAAATTGGCTCCTGGGCAAACTTTGCAATAAGAGTGTGTTTGTTTGGATATACCACTTGTTTGCTGGTGGGCAAGGGGTGGGAGTGGTGGGAGAAGCTGGGAGGTGAGAGTAGGAGAAAAAGCCATCTGTGTAGAACAGGCCAAGCAAGAGGAAGAATCATCTTGAATATGAGTTGGGGTTGGGCATCAGCTCTTGGGCCTCAGCTTTGCTGGGAACAAGATGCTCAACCTCAGCTGAGATCACTCAGATCCCAGTCTCACAAGTCCCACTTCCTCATCACAAAATGAGAACACGATACTCCTTTTAGCCCATTTTGGATTAGTTAATCCATTCCCCTGTTCAATTCTTCTGAGGGAAGAGTGGGACCAGATGGATAGAACCTTTTGCAGGCACCTACCTCAATTAGCGCCATGCGGGAGTGGCAATTAGCATCGTTCTGTCCCTCTGCTGGGAATGGGGAAGTTCAGGCTCCTTCCAGGGCAACACGATGCATCCACGGCAGAAGTGGCATCGGGGCTTGCGGGTTTCTCTTCTCTGGAATCAAAATAACTTAATATAGAGGATTATTTCAAAATGGGTTACAATGCCATCATATTGTAACACGTGACAGCGCGAGCGTGGTGTTAATGTCTGGGTCATGGTACCTGGAACGGAGGCCAGAGCCAGGGGGGGTGAACTCTGCTCCAAGTGACCAACTTCAAAGGTCAGAGGTGAAGTTGGCGTGATGTCACTTACCAAAATCACCCCTGTGTTCTAAATTGAGGGACTCTGGCAAGTTACTGAAATGCAAACGTTGAGACTACTGACAGATTTTAACAGAATAGGCTTTAATTCTATATTTATGTTGTAAGCAAAAAAAACCCCAACATGTTTTTAGCATTTGCTGTGACTCTAAATGAGTCTTTTTGAGCTTTAGAACTCCTAACAACTAAACCCAGATGCTATTTATCCTGGCAAATGTCTTTTCTTATGTTACAAACTGTGAAAAAGATGAGATCAGAGAAGAAAAAAAATAATAAACCTGATTACTAACTGATGGCACTCCATCTTAATTTTTCCTCCCAGCTTAATTCCACCCCCCACCACCTCCAATGTAGACATTTCTCTCTTACATGGCAAGTGTGTCAATATCACAGAATCACAGAATCTTCTAGGTTGGAAGGGACCTTAAAGATCATCTTGTCCAACTGTCAACCTAACTGACAAAAATAGACACCCACACAACAAACAAGGAGCATCATCACTAAACCATACCTCCCAGCACTACATCAACCCGTCTTTTGAACACCTCCAGGGATGGTGCCTCAACCCCCTCCCTGGGCAGCCCATTCCAATGGCTGAGAACCCTTTCAGTGAAAAAATTTTTCCTAATATCCAGCCTGAACCTCCCCTGGTGTAACTTGAGGCCATTTCCTCTCGTCCTGTCACCTGTGACTTGGGAGAAGAGACTGACCCCCATCTCTCTACACCCTCCTTTCAGGGAGTTGTAGAGAGCAATAAGGTCTCCCCTCAGCCTCCTCTTCTCCAGGCTGAATAACCCCAGCTCCCTCAGCTTCTCCTCATAAGACTTATTCTCCAGACCCCTCACCCCCCCTCATATCTGTCCTTCTAACAAGAAATAAATAACTGAAAACCCAAGATAACAAAGAAACTCCCCTAAACCCCCCTGACTTGCCTGTATTAGTTCGGTTCCCCTTGTTGTTGTGAACAAATGGCTCCAGTCCAGCGCAGTGAGAACATCGGGTCCCTGGAGGTGTTCAAAAGACGGGTTGCTGTAGTGCTGGGAGGTATGGTTTAGTGATGATGCTCCTTGTTTGTTGTGTGCGTGTCTATTTTTGTCAGTTAGGTTGACGGTTGGACAAGATGATCTTTAAGGTCCCTTCCAACCTAGAAGATTCTGTGATTCTGTGATTGTCCAGGCTGTGGATTTCTTGACACGGCGCTGCTCATCTCGTTGCAGAGACCTTCCGCTGCACCTACTGCAACACAGAGGTAGAGGAAGATGCCTCTGCCCTTCCCAAGCGCGACGCCCGGACCCTGCTGGCCAAATTCAACGAGCAGATGGAGCCCCTCTTCCTGCTGCTGCGGGAGGCCGAGGACGTGGTTCTGCCCTATGACCTGCTGGAGCCCCCACCGACAGAGATACCCGGATTGTCAGAGAGGTATAAACACAGCCCTCGGGCTTCTCATCAACACAAAACCCCCCAACAGCCTTCCAGTTGTAAAACCTTTGAAAGGCAACCTGCTTTCTGCTCCATTCTGCTTTGTTCAGTGCTGTCAGCTGCTCAGTGAAGAAGCCTGTAATATTCAAGGCGTTCTAAATTATTGTTATGCTTTTATAATTTTAATTTTGCTGCATTTTTAGTTTTAAGGAGGAATTTTACAGACTTCCCCTTTGGCTAATATGTTCTTCCTGGGAGAATGTAATGATTCTGTATCAGTGTGCTCCATCCAGGAAAGACCGTGCCAAAACCAGTTGTCTCTCTGATGAGATGATGGAAATGCAAATTGTTTTAATACAGAGCACTCGTTAAAGCCAGTCTGCTGACAAAACAGGCTTTTTTTTTTTTTGCTTGGTCTTTTTTTTTGACTGGGAACTGGAGAAAGGATGTCTTGCCTATATTTAACCTGTCCAAAATGGGTGGCATTTCATCCAGCTTTGATCAGAAGGCGGGCTCCAGCGTGCTGGAATCCTGCAGCCAACCTGAAAAATGGGCCACCAGAAGTTCCTCTTTTGGCAACATGTACACCCAAAACTTGGTCATCGATGTCCAAGACTCTGAGCCGAAGAAGAAAACGAGAGAGAAAGCAACTAAAGAGCAACCCGTCTGGATGTCAGAGAGCACTGTGGAAGGAGCCACAACAGCCACCAGCGACAGCGTCAGTAAGTTTTAAGCATTAGCAAAAACTAATTTCATTAGATTAAGTAGCCTTAGCACTTTTAAATACAGATTTCCTATCAAAAATGTAGCGAGCTCACCTTAAAATGTAGAGTAATGCTTCAATTGTGCACTAGTGGCAATCAGATCTTAGTTTGTAAAATTGTTCTTAAAACCTACATCAGTTTTTAGGCTGATATGGGCAGTATTCCCAAAGCCAAGAGGCTGGATACCAGCTCCTGAAATGTCTGGCTGTACCTGGGCACTGTCACTGTGCAGTGGTGATACTTAAAGCTCCTGGAAACCTCTGCAGTTTCTGGAGAATTCTAAAGTGTGGGTAAAAAAAGATGCAGAGTAGAAAACACAGTGTATGCAGGATGCCTGTGGTAACTGTAAACTACAGCCACCTCTAACACCCAGTGCTGTGTACTAGGAGTAAAGGCTTCTGAAGAAACTGAAGAAAGCGTTAAAGAAACAGTCACGGATAACGAAATCATCAAGACTCTTCTGATCCACGAATCCAAGTCATCGTCCAGCACAGACCAGGCTCGTGTCATCCAGAACAACCTCCCTGGCTCAGGCAGTGACAGCAGCGAGCCTGAAGAAGACCCCACGTGCTCAGGAGGAACAGGATGGAAAGCAGGAGGCAGCAGCTCCGACCAAGAGGAACAGGAGACACACGGCCCGATGTTGATGGTGGCCGGTCAGCTGAGGTCCTATGGCGAAGTCAGCGAAAACCCAGAGCTTGTGTCCCTCATGACAAATGAAGAGAGAGAAGCTTATATAAAAATAGGGCAACAAATGTTCCAGTCAGTCTTTGAATGAATATGAATACCACTAGGGCAACAAATGTTCCAGTCAGTCTTTGACTGAATACTCTATGAATATCAAACCTGTAGGGAATGGGCGAAGGCTTCTCTAGAAATAAGAATGTCTTGCTGTAGGGAATGGGCGAAGGCTTCTCTAGAAGTGTCTTACAGTTTAATTGATGTTCTTCAAAGTTTACCAGTGAAGGGTTAAGTTTTGTTTGAACTCCTTGTTGTTACACAAAGTAGCAATCCTGTAGAAATAACTACAGTTCAAAACACTAACACTGCAGCAAAAGCAACCCAAAGTCACTATGGGTTTTTCTGTTGTCTTAATGCTTAGGTTTTGTGAATGCTGTAATTAGTTTTGGAGCACAAATCGTTTTGGGATACAATGGGGTCTGATGGAAATAAAAATTTCAAAAGCACTGTTGCAATCTACTGGAAGAAATCAATGATTCCACCGTCCTCCCAGAAGTAGTAGATATTTCCAGTAGTGAAAATGAGTTGAAGTCCACCAGGACTTGGTTTCACTCTGTACCTTGTGTTCTGTTGTTTGTCAGGTCAGTTGCTGCACAAGAGTTAACAGGGGGGTGTTACAGAGGGGAAAAGCAGTGTCAGCTACAGAAGAAAACCAGCTCTGGCCTCTTAACGTTCACCTTAAAAAAAATCATTATATCTGAATTCTTTGTACTCGTTGCTCACCAGAGCTGTCTCTGAGGTCACCAACTGTGCAATGGATACTGGACAGTGAAATGTAACATTCACTGTGGCCAAGGATCAACCAGAAGACTCTGCTGCTCAATCTCCTACACCCACTCACCTATGATCTATTTAAGCAGAACCTTCTCTACTACCACTGAAAAACACATTCTACTTCAACTGAACTACATATGCAGAGAAGGGCTCACATCAGAAGGTCAGACAATTCTACTATTTGTGCCCCTGCAGTCAACTTCCATTATCCAATGCTCAAACTGAAACACAAGAACTTCCCTCACTATCAGGAGACACTTTGACTGTGTGACTGAGCACTGACACAGGTTCCCTAAAGTCTTTGTAGAATCTCCATCCTTGGAGGTACTCAAAAGCCACCTGGGCATAGCCCTGGGCAACCAGCTCTGAGTGGCCCTGCTGGAGCAGAGGTTTGGACAAGATGACCTCCAGAGGTCCCTGCCAACCTCAACCACCCTGTGAAGAAAGGGTAGAGAGAACATAGAAACACTATTTCAGGACAAGAATTCAGGAAAAGTATGTGCTCTTGCTATTTCATGAGCTTTAGAATTTAATGATTTACTATATAAGCTAAATTTCTGACAAATATGCACAAATATTCTTCTTCTACTTCATGGAAATATCCTCTTGGATTTACTGAATGATTCTTGTGCCAAGTTAGTGATTAAAAGCTTTGTTTCACTTTCACAGGTTTGCCTTTGTCCCAATGTATTTCTTCTGTCCTCAAAATTATCAAGTTTTTTCCCCGCATACAGCGTCCCAATGTATTTCTTCTGTCCTCAAAATTGTCAAGTTTTTTCCCCCACATACAGTATCCCCACGAGTTTAAAGCCTGAGCAGTAACTAAGTTGCCTTCAAACCTTTTATTATACTTTCCTCTTTGGAGATGAAAGGTATGTGATTGTAATCTGCCATTTCAAAATTCACTCCTAAAACCTGGAGCCGCTCAGAACAAACAAACTAAAAGAAATCACAGAAGAATCTCACTCATTTTATTCAAACTTCAGGCATGTTTCTGCTTCCCTGGCACAGCAGAGCCCTGTCATTACAGTAACCTCAAAGGAAGGCAAAGCCTGAATTACAGGTGACCATTGCACTTGAACTGCTTTGAGAAAAGCCTTCTATTTGTTTAAGGTAAGCAGGATCTCTCTAATGGAGTGGATCTGCTGAATAAGCTATTTCCAGCTCAACTTTATGACTTACAACTCTGATTATGAATTAGCAACTCTGACCTGGTAAAGTCAAGAAAATGTTTGTTCTGGTTCAAGCTTTCTCATCTACTTTTCTGCAGTCCTAATTCCGCCTTTGCCACAAAACTTCATTAGGTGCTGACTTGAACTGGCTTTTTTAAACATTAACTTGAACTGTAATTTCCTACATTTCTTCCTTCCCCCACAAAAACCCTTTACAAAGTCAAATACTTTAGGAACAAGTCCTACAGGCTTTCAACTGCAGCAAAACACAGATAGTTTCTGCAGTTAATTACAAAAACCAGGGAATTTACTTCATCTTGGATAAATGTGTTGTCCACAGGCCAAGAGGAGGAAGTTTTGTTTTCCTTTTATACAGACTTAGGCTACAAAGGCAAGATGTAGGTGTGGGCTGTGTCTACACCTCACAGAAGGTGTAGACACCTTTGTAGAAGTTGAAAAAGAAGAAACAAGAGTTTCTTGTCCCAGAAAAGTCCGCAGTGTTTCCCTAAAGAGGAGTAACAAACCACTACAAACACACCAATGCTTCAAGTCACTTGGCTTCCACCAGCAAACCCTGCACCCTGTTTTGTATGGCAGAGGAAAATTTTTCAAAAGACAGATTTACAGACAAGTCCAAACTTTATTTAAAACTACCATTTGGAACAGTTTTAAAATTACTAAACAAGTCACAATAAAAAATAAAAAAAGATTAAGACAGAAAAAGAACAGTGCAGCAAAACTGAAGAGGATTCAGTTCCAGCTGTCCCAGCTGCCCCAGGCAGAAGTTACCATACCTATCCCTAAGAGGCAGTGTGTCCAAAATTGTACATTTCTATACACTTCCAGAATTCTGGGAATTTAGTGCTGATCTTCCATACGCGTTTGTGTACATAGAGTCTATAAATGCAGGTATCTTCAGGTTATTCTCATGCACTCTGAGCTCCAAAAGTTTCTGTAAAATAAGAATAAATTCATTACTGTCTGTCAATGACAAGGAAAACACAGCTCTTGACCACATTTCAATTCCTTGTGAGCATCACAATATCAACATTATATTAAAACCAAAAAAGTTTCTTTGACCTGCATTACCATTAAGTTCTTTTAGCTGCAGAAATACTGTTTCATGACAGAGACCAATGTTTATTGCTGTCATACACACTGGAAGTTTCTTATACCTCATGGTGTGCTTCATATAAAAAATAATTTTCTTTTCCCTGAAGAGATTATTTCACTGTTCTGAAAAGTCTCTTGAACTTTTCTATTACAAAGACAGTGAGCAGTCTGACAGCAAATCATCTTGAGTGTTATTAAATCAGGTAACAGCAATTAGGATTTGCAATATTGTTTAAACCCAAGCTTGTATTACAAAGAACAAAACTACTATTTCATTTTAATAAGTTACAAAACCATTAAATTATAACATGCATTTTAAATATGGAAATTTTTATTGCTTTATTAGCCACAGAATTGAACCAGAAGTATATAGAAGGAACATGGAGGGCAAAATCCCTTCATATCAATATATCATTTTCAAATGCACGACAACAAAAAAGCATCATCTTCTTTCAGCACCACAGTAACTGCTTGCTTCAATCAGCGGTAACAAGATATTTAAAATCTAGGCCACTCCCAAGGGTTTCCCCTGTAGGGCTAGAGGATTTAGAAAATAATCTTTACCAGGTTCTTTCAGAGTTTGGGCATCTCCTACTAATTCTTGATCTTGAGCTCCACCTCCATCCAGTAATTCATCAGACAAACTGTTGGTTTGAGCCTCCGTTGCCATTTTCTTCATTAAATCTGCCTTTGTAACAGATAAAGCAAAACTTAAAATTCTGGATAATTTTTACTGCTGTCTAGATAATTAATAGACATTTAGGGTGTGCACTTCTAAACAACCACCCCACAAGCAATAGCAAAATACCTCTGAATACACTGCAAGTTTAAGGGGCAAGTCTTCAACTTTCACAAAATCATCTTCATCAGATTTTTGACTGACGTTCCCAGAACCAGCTTCCTGTTAAGAAAAAAGAGCGATGTCTCAGAGAATAGTGCTACTTTGTTTTATTTTCATTCCAAAACTAGATTTTTGACTACTGTAATAAGAGTAAATCAAAAAGCAATGCCCATATCAAATTTGCAGATGAAAACCGAACAAGACTGGAAACTAGAAGTAACAATGAAGTAAAAAAAAAAAGCTTCTATTTTCTCTTGGATGTCTCTTAACTGAAATATACGTACAAATTCATTCACCAAGACGGGTGACTCCGTGTCAGGGCTGCCAGCCATGGAGCTGTCAGAACTTGCAGCAGATGATTTGTTTCCTACACACGTTGTATCCAGCGTTTGAGTTTCATTCCCTGGTGGAGATGAGCTCGATTCTTCTGTTTTCATGTTGGTTGTTATGAAGGATTCTGGGGTATGGGCTGTTAAAGGTGGCGTATTCTCCATGACGTTGAGATAATGAGGCAAAATTGGAGCCACATCTTGTTCACCTAAAACCACAAAACTACATTTTAACTGGGCAGAGATAATAAAAGATTCTGAGCATACAAAAATCCCAGATTATTATTACTTTTTTTAAAAAAAATTACTATTCAAAGCTACAAATGAGAAAGTGATTTAGCCTGAAATAAATCATCAGTCACTAACACTCTCATACGCTGAGGTATCAGCAAGTATCACAAGACAGTGTACAAAAATCCCAGATTATTATTACTTTTTTAAAAAAATTATTATTCAAAGCTACAAATGAGAAAGTGAATTAGCCTGAAATAAAACATCAGTTACTAATACTCTCATACTCTGAGGTATCAACAAGTATCACAAGACAGTACTACTGTAAAATATTCATTTTAGGCATAAAGAGCTTAATACAGAACAATAAATTCCTTAGCATTTTGCCACATTCTTGTGGCAACACAATGTACTCAAATACTGCTTTAGTCTACAAAAAAAGACCAAGAACAAAACCAGTATTTGCCCCAGAAAAACCCAAGAAAAAGGTAGCAACAGTTAGATTATAAGTAAGTTTCATACCACATGGTAGTGTTTCTGTCTTTTGGCAGAAAATGATTTCTTGGTTCTTAGATCAGTTACAAGGCAGAATATAAACTTCCCACAGAAAAATAGAAAGTGATTTCAATTGCTGGGAAATGGTAGTAGCAGAAAAAGCAAGTACCAAGCAAATCTAAACATCCAAATACTGGAAGAGACAAATTAGCTCTGCTACAGTTGTGTGCCAAAGGCTGCAACTATCAACTGAAATTCTCTGTCCAAGATAATTCTCACAATACACAAACTCACACAGAAGTGTTACTCTCTCAGTTACCGTGTACTGGGCTCACCTTTAACATTAACAGACTCTTGTTCTGATGACAAAATCTCACTGCTTTTTGTCTTACTCAGCTCTTGGTTTGAAGTCTATTGAGGAAGATGAAAACAAGTTAGAACAAATTCAACTAATCAGCTCTGTAGCTTATTGGCTAATTTATTCTTCCTTGCTAACTAGAAACACACTGTACATTTGCTCTGTGCTTTTGTCTTTCAACTAGTTTGAAATAAAGATAGCAAATTCTACTCTGCTCTTCAGCTGGTCAACTATTAACACTGATATGTGTGTTTTATCTAAGCATTTAATTTTATTTTCAGTATAGTAGTTCCCAGGTTTCAGTTCCACTGAAAAAGACCTTTTGTTTTAGCCTTTAAAGTAAAATGTTCCAGTTAAATCCTTGCCCAAATGTGAGTAGCTCTTGAGTAAACTGAAGTTTCAAAAGACTCAGAAGTCAATCTTATTTACTGAGATGTAAAGAATTGACAAGTCTCCAGAACCAGGTCACACACATCCAAATGTTTTGAAAGAAACTAACAGTGAAATGACAATAGAAAAGCCAATAACATTTCACTGTTGTTCTAGAAAAACGTATTACACAATAAAGAAGAAAGAGAAGTCAGAGACATGCTAGAATACAAGAGTCAATGGCTTCTGTAAAGGAAAGCCCAATGAGAACTTGATGTTAGCAACCAGAACAACTAGTGAACAGTTTAAAACTTGATGGTTTTTTGAAAGTTAACCTTTTCTATTGCAGCTTAACGTTCTCTCTCTCTGAAAGCAGATTTAAACACTAATTTTGTGTGCGTTCATCCATCCGTTTTAGCATCAGCCACACCAATAATAAATTCAGGTGGGGAATGAGCAGCACATATTTTGCATGTAGCAGCTGTTGCTTTCATGTGATTCCTTACATCATTCTTCCACTTTTGTTAGTATGAAAACAGTGCAACAAGAAAAACCCAAGTGTTATCTACAGAGATTTGTCTGAAAAGCTGTGCACTGGCTTAGGTCTGCTCTGTGTTCACAGCTCTGGTGTACCTGTTCATTTTCAGTTGTTGTTTCACTGCTGGCTTGTAGAGATGTCTGCACATCAACAGGCCCTTCCTCAAAGTCTATTTCTTCATCTTCGTTCTCATCTTCTCCGACAGAACACAATCATATTTTAGTGGTTTTCAAAAAAAAACTTAAAGAGAAAAGGGAGACATTTTGGGCCCCAACATATAATTCTCAGAGCACACACAGACTTTTGACTCTGAAGACCTTAAGTACCATTTGTGCCAACTCAGAACATCTGCCCTTTCCTTAAGATGAAAAGTAAAACAGCTTATTCCTTATCATTAAAAAAGATAATGTTAATTGCTAAAAATAATTAAACGCTGTCTCTATTTACTGGCCTTGTCACTTAATTCTTCAAGGAATGATTACATTCTGAATGAGAATACAGGCAACAGCCCCAGACCAAATCCCACAGTAAGCACCTTCAGAACAGGCCTGTCTTCTTTAAAATACAGAAAATGAATACTGAAAGGAAAAACAAGATCCTACCCTAAAGCTGCTCATCAAGTATCACAAATTATTCTATTTCACTTGCGTAGCATTCAGCATAAACTTTGCTCTTCTTAGACTTTCAAATTGTCAGCCCTAAGGCAAAGCTCATGCTACATAAAGGTCACCAACAATAAATAAAAGCATCTTTAATAGTCTCTTTGTTGATCTGAGTGCACTTCTTGAAAGGTGACAAGATAATATTTTACAAGAAATGCATGGAACAGTGTTTATCTGGCAATGGCTCAGCAGCAGAAACAGGAATAAAACCCAGAGCAACCAAGGAGCTGGGATCCAAGTCATGTTTACTGAATGCATGTAATAATAAAGACTTATTGATGAAGGCAGATTTTTCTGGTAGTCCTTTTCCAGACCATCAACTCAAATTAAAAAAAGGAAAATTATAATTTACCTTGTTACTTTGATAAAGTAAATCACTGAAAGTAACAGAAAAGAGATAAAATCCATGATGTTTAATAAATTTATAAACACCAGGAAACGGGCTGCTTGTGGAGACCGGATTTATGACAGAAAACAGAAAGACTAAGTGATCTGTGAAATTATCTGAGAAATAAATAAAGACAGTTGAGAAGCATAAACATACTTTGTCCTCATCGACATCTTCAGCAGATGAACAAACATCCACCTGGAGACCTTTTTTCGCCTAGAAGAAACACAAACTCTCTTCAGTTCTAAACTGAAATGATTTTGAAAAACTGAACCAAACTAAGGCTTCGTGAAAGCCTGGCAGAAAGGCCAATCTTACAAGAACTGCTAATCTCAAAACAGCAGCAGACAGACCAGCAATCTTACAAGAACTGCTAATCTCAAAACAGCAGTAAGTCACAGGGACTTCTACACTAGGAGAGATAGACATAGGAGATAGACATAGATGTCTTCAAAATTTTAGAGTTGCAAGGTATTACCAAAAATTGTGTTAGCCCTTTTTATTTAAACGATGATGTTTACATGGGATAATTCTCCAGTCTGGGGTTAAAACACATTTAATATATAGATTTAGACAGACCAGCTCCGGCCGTTAGCCCTTTTTATTTAAACAATGATGTTTACATGGGATAATTCTCCAGACTGGGGTTAAATCACATTTAACATATAGATATAGACAGGCCAGCTCTGGTCAAGACAGAGTTGTGCTTTTCAGTGAGGAATCTAAAACCAGTCAGTTTACTGGACTCAAGGCAGCCACAAAATCAAGCAAGATGAGATGTGTCCGCAGCAGGATCCCAGACCCGAAAGCTGTGAGAAGACCACATAGAGATAATTCTGTGGGTCTGTCTAAAGTAACCAAGACCTACCAGTTCTGGCTCTGTTGAGTCTGAACTGCTGCCACAGCAACAAGGCAAACGTTGACCTTAACTCTTTGTCTTCCAGAAGAGAAGAAATGCTAGATCTAAGTTGGCTGCAGGCACTCTCACAGCAGTCTACGAACTATCTAACAAAGACCCAATGAGCAACCTCAGATAAAATAAGAGGTCATGTCCAAATCCTTCTGGATTCACAGTGTTTCTCCGGCCTCTTTCCAAGACAGTCCACAGTCTCTCTCACACACCAGCCATAATACTGGTATATTTAAAGTTCAACTATCTTGAGTAGCTGATGATATGCTTAAAACTACTTAAAGGCCTTTATGACAAATTCACAAAATACCCTCCATTGATATTTTTAAATGAGTTGAGGTTTGCTTTGGTATTTCTGTTTCTCAAAGAAAGATGAAAGGACACTGAAGTCATAACTATACTATGCAAGAAGAAACTGTTATGTGTGATGGAGTCCAGCTTTCCTGGAGATGGCTGAACACCTGCCTGCCCATAAGAATTAGAGAATGAATTCCTTGTTTTGCTTTGCTTGTGCACACAGTTTACCTGTTAAACTGTCTTTATCTCAACCCACAAGTCTTCTCACTCCTCCAATTCTCTCCCCCATCCCACCAGCGGGGAGTGAGCCAGTGGCTGTGTGGGGCTCAGCTGCTTAGTTGGGTTAAACCACAGCAACTCCTCGGAGGCTCCAGATGTTAATACCATTTCAAGACTTGACTATTCCTTACTATGTGCACACATAACCATGAAAACACATTTTCTCTGAATTACCAACAACAATTGGTCTATGCAACAACAAAAACTCTATGCACCTAGATGCCTTAAACAGACACTCATCTATAATATAGGACATCTCCCTTAGTGAGGAAAACTAGTTCATGCTTCTAACACAAGCACTACTGTGATTACACAGCCCTAATTCATAAAAAAACATAGATACTTGAACTAAGGTACTCAAAAGTAGTTTAGGGAATACAGATACATAGGAAAGTCAGAAAAGCTACATTTTTCAAAAATATAGTAAAACAAACCTCTTTAGCGTAAGACTGTATCACTTCAGTAGTTTCTATTTTTCTTTTACATCTCTGCTTTACAGAAATGCTGTTGTTGTCCAAGTCTTGCATGAGTTTAAAAAAGGCCAATTCATTAAATAACACTTCAGAGATCTCCACAAGAAGATCCTCCCCACAGTCTTTCAATTTCCTGCCAGCAAATTTCGCCAGTGAATCCTGTGAAGAGAAATAATTCTTCAGTTTTTGAAACAGGCTTTCAAAGACTAAGTATTTGTCATATTCCTAATAACTCAAAATTAGTTAGGTATGTATTAGCTCATACTTTTTAAAAGATATGGTTTAACATCTTAGATTTTAAGCAGACTAGTCACGTAATAGAATGTATCAAGTTACTGATTAAAACTCTATATTAGGGAGAGAAAGGGAGGGAGAGAAAGCATTCTATTGATTTTCAGGAATTTACACAAAACGTTCATGAAGAGCATCACCAGAGCTCTCCTTGAAGACAGCACCAGTCAGGAGATACACCTCTCACTGTCTGGCAATGATGGAAAAGAAGTTCTGTGCATAGTAAAGCTTTCATTTTAGAAAACAAGGCAATACCTCATTGCTATATTAAAGCCAGAGAACAGCAGTTGTAAAATATAACTTCATGGAAGCTGGTTTATCTGTTGCTCATTATCCAAGCTGCAATAGTGCTGCAAAACAACACTGAAAAGCTACTGACCTGCAGTATGCTGCCAAGCTGCTTATGAAAGAACTTCACAAATTCTTTACTTTCATCGTTTTGTTGTGTAAGAGTCAAGACCATGCGTCTTACTGATGTCAGTAATTGAGAAGAGCATACTTCATCCATGTGCTCCTAAACAAGTATCACAAAATGAGTTTAGTTAACACTTAATTTTTAATTTTTTTTTAAATAGCCATCAACTCAAATACTGAAATTCATTTATAAACAAAATCCCCTTTCCACTGAAAGAACAGCACTCCACGAACCAGTTCCTAACCCATCTCACAAAACAAACTAACTGAAACACAGTTACAGCAAATATACTTCATTAATGGCTGACTGGCCGTGACACACAAAGCTTTGTTGCACTTCTGCACCACATTAGTACCTGCCACCTTTTAACGTCTGGACAAACTAACGATCTTCACATGTTGTGGCTGTGGACTCAGGTGTATTAAAGTTTATGGTAAGATATCTACTGTTGTAAGCTGCCTTCAAATTGCAAACAAAAGAGAAGCCTTTGGGCACTGACACTGGGGCGTGCCAAAAATATAGACAGTTTTTAAAACCAGTATCAAAAAAGTACCTTATTCATCAAAGCTAATCTTACACACTGCACATACTGTAAAAGGGAGCGTGGAGATTACTTAAGCATCTGACAACTCAATCTCCTCTGCTTTTTAACCGTGCAAAGAATGAACTGTGACTATTTCTCCTTCTTTTAAGTAGCACATTTGTCCTCTCTATTCACAATGTTTACAAGCTCTCAACAATTTTGAAGATATTTGTAAACAGAAAATAATGCTAAAACTCACAGAGCTATTCTTCAAAAATATCTCAAGTTACATCGTATGTAACAGTTTTAATTAAAACTATCTCACTTCTCTTTGCTAAAAGGCAGCAAATAATTCAAAAGCACATTCTCAAACATTTCTATTTGATTTGGTCAGCTCCAAACAAAGACCAAAGTTCTATTATTCTTGATGTCAAGTCCACCAGCCCTATGCAATCCAGAAACCTTCACATTTCTTTCTCCTATTAAAAACCTTTCTGTTGGAGTATTTAATCCTTACATCATCCTCAGCAAGGTCTGCAACTTAACACACACTTATTGGCAGCTGCTGCTAAGATGCAAGTTATCCATTTTAAATAATGTTCTTCCATGGAATTGTGCAGGTCCTTCCCCTGTTCTCCATGTTCTCCCCTGTTCAATAATGTTCTTCCATGGAATTGTGCAGGTCCTTCCCCTGTTCTCCAAATTCACATGTTACTGAAATAGGTTCTTACCTTCAGGAAAGGAATGACCTCTTTCATAATGGCTTTAATCTGCCGGTCGAGCTGCTGAGTATCTATACGAGGACACGGAACAGCAGAGGCGTCACTTGACTCCGGCACAGGACAACACTCACTGGTACTTGGACCTCATTAAAAGAAACATACATTTCAGTCACTCAACATTAAAGAAATACTAATTCCAAACCCATATATTTTCCTTTTTTAAAAATAAATCAGATTTACTTAAGTATGCAAAGATCCTTCGAAGCTTTGCTAAGTTTTCAATATAAATGAAGAGGAAAGCAAGTCAGCCAATTAAATGACTCTTGATATTTAGAAGACTTATTTTCTAAAACTAAGCAAAATATGTATATATGTGCATACCTTCTAATTTAGCAGCAGAAGCACCCTGAAAATTACTAGAGCAGCCCTCAGAGTCAAGGGTACTTTCAGCTTCAATTTTCATACGCTCATACTCCCTCATCCTAGCCAAAGCTTGATCTAAGTGAATCACTGTGTTGCCTATATTTAGAATAAAAACACCTTTTAATCTAAATAAAAAGTTTTCAATTGATACACAAGTAAACAATGATAAAAACGAATTCAAAATCACAACTTTTGAAATCGACATATAACGATAGTTGAGTTATAATATTTTTTTACACAAGTTTTCAATTGATACACAAGTAAACAATGAAAAAAACCGAATCCAAAGTCACAACTTTTGAAATTGACATATAACCATAGTTGAGTTATAATATTTTATTACACGCTTTGAACAACTCAAAGTGTTTCACAAGTGACTAATTTCTCTAAGTGTTGTTTTACAAAATGTGGTTACACGCTAAAAATCAAAGGTTTTTTAGACTATTTAAGAGTAGACAATCGCAGGCATTTTAGGAGGGAGGGACTAACACAACACTGTAAATCCCATCATTCTTACCAAGGTCATCAGTGGCAAAGGGTTCAAAATTTGAAGATGTAGACATAGTACTCCCATTGTCTGCATCATTTTGTTCACAATCTTGACATGCTTCTGTAGAAAAGTTCTTGCCAAAAGTTTCCTAAAAAAACACCAAAGAACAGAATACAAAGTAGGAATGCACCATCCTCTCTCAGATGTGTCACCAACCAGGCTGCTTGACTAGGAAATAACCTTACTTTCAGGGTATAAATCCATCAGGTGATTCTACCATGTTTGTTTCAAATACTTCAACTGTAAAATACATAAGAAACTGTGCAGAGTATCAGTGATTTCTTAAATATAAAGTAGTAAAAATTCCTTGGGAATCCTGTGATCAGTACTTGCCCTGACGTACTCACAAGAGGATTTTGACTCTCTTTGAGTATCAGTTTCCAATCTGAGTCTCTGTCCACGTTCTGTTCCTCCCTGACACATCACTCATTTCCAGCATCAAGAACCCTACTGTGTTTAATCCCTTTTGCATTAATATTCTCTTGCATTTCTTTGTTCAGAAAAGTCTGTGTAAGTTGAAATGAATTTTAGAAAAATTCAATCCCTAGTATGAATATTTCAGTACACAGTACACATGCATCTAAGTTGAAAAGAGAGGAAAAGTTGACAGGAAATTAACGTCTGAACTTGAAAACTTACATCATCTGTAGAAGCAAGGCTTTCACTGGGAGTGAGTTCAGAATTTGATGCCATCCATGTGGCCGAATTCAGTGATTTTGTGCACTTGCCTTTTTCGTTGTTCTCAGACAGATGTCTGGTCACTATATCCTGGAAAAAGACAATAAATCTATACTGTAAAAAAGGATCTAAGATTTGTTTGATTCCCACACAAGATCAAAAATTTCAGGCGTACCTGCAAAGCGTAGAGAGCCCTTTGCCTCAGGTAATCTGTGTTCAGCAGCTGAAGCTCATGGAAAAGTTCAATAAGAAAGTGAGGACGAGACTCATTTTGAGAAATGAGCGTTGCCACTTCAGAATAAATTGTGTCTCGTAAAGCTTCAAACATAGAAAGATCACTACCAGTTTCTGCAGGAAAAAAAAAAAGGAACTCGTTAAGTCCTTGACATGCATCCAGTTGAAAGCAAGCTGTTTATTCAGTATGCAAGTTACAGGTACACAAATTATCTCTCAATTATTGTAGCTTCCATTTTATAGCTGTTTTTCTAAAGCTTACTCATCTCCTGAAGGGCAACAAAGATGTAAACATTCTGAAATAACACTTTATGCAATCCTTCATATATGAAATAAAATGTAAAGCATTCATAGAAATAATTTTCTTTACGATTCTGGACAATACCTTTAGAAAGTATTTATTAAAGAGAATATTGCACACGCAGTGTTGCTTTCAGAATAGGTACTCCATACCAAAAATGGAGTTTTAAGATATTTCCAAAGGTCTCAAGTTTACATAATACAAGTAGTCCACATTCTTGCAACACAAGCAACAACACGAAGAAAGCTCTAGACTGAATTCAAGAAAGGCACTGCTTCCCATCCCTCCCCCACAAGCATAAATCCTACGTTCTCATACATGTCTGACTTCTGAGACTCACACAAAACCTCCTGCCCTTAAGCCCTATTACATATGTATGAGAAGCCAATGTGTTCCCCTACCAACCTCCCATTCCTTTGAAAATTAAGGATTATCCTTGCATCACAACAGTTATTACATACGTATTTTGGCAAGTGTTGAATGGGAAAAAGTTACATTTGGAAAACTCAGCTTAGTTTAACAGATGCACATTTGTTAGTATTCAAGTTAATGAAGTTATTAGCAATACAGCAAGTGTTACTGTGCAATTTGATTATCTGCAAATAGTCTACCAGTATTTTTAAGCATAGAGGTCAGCTTTTTGAACCTTGAATAAGTCACTAGAAATTGCTTCCCTCCTCCATTAATAAAATGTAATAGTAGCTTTTAAACATACTAAAAATGCCTACTGAATTTTTTTGTTGGCATCTACCTGCCTATTTTCCACTTGTAATTGGGACTAAAAACATGATAAACACATTCTTCACAATTACAATTCAAAAGAGTTTGTATCATTGCATTTTGTGCAAACTACAAGCATCTTTCTCTTGCCTTGTTTATAGAGAAGGCGCCGCAATAGTGCTGAGTTTGAACATCTGCTAAACAGTCTGAGTTACAGGCCCAAAGCTAAGAGGCAAAAAAATAAAAGTAGTAGGACATTGTTGAAGCTGAGCAGTGAATGCATTACCTGGCACTTCAATGCATGCATTTCTGTTAGACTGCTGCAGAATTCTCCTAGCATGCGCTGTAGGAAAGTGGGGATAGACAGTGATAAACACAAAAAATGCGCACCAGAAATCAAGACAGGGTCTATACAAAACAGCAGGAGGAAAACTGCTTTAGTGATCCAAACCACAGCAAAGCTGCTTATTGCGAGAACGTGACTGGTGAACAGTTTATTACAACAATAAACAGCTCTTAGTGTGGACACAGCTACATTGACAAAGCTGTACATCGTGCTACAGTGACTAAAATCTCTGCATCTTTCAAACAAAACAAAGGTACTGGCAGAACCTAAAAAGACACAGAAGAAAATATTTTTATGGTCTAGACGCAAGAAAAGCAGTGCAGATGGCAGTAATGTAAGGGTTTATGTGATGTTATAAGACTGAATTTGAATGGTATTTGATAGGGCTCCCTTAAGCATGAACAGAAAGAAAACGTATGCAGTAGGGAATGCAGATTAAACACTGACCAGTGGCACCTGTTGTGCAGATACTTCCCATAAAAACACCAGCAAATGGGTGACTGTTTCGGTTGGCGAGATTTTTGTTTGGTTTACAGTAACAGGTTTGCTTCTAAATTATTTTAATCAAGTACCTAATCTACAGAAAACACCCAAAAGCAATCAATACCCAACTTTTTACAAACTTTTACGCATCCTTAGAAATTAAAAAGCAAAATCCAGATGCTAAATATTCCATATTGTCTTCTTGTCATAGTATACTGCTTTTAAATAATGCACTAGCAACTAATTCTGGAGGTCTTTTACTCAGAGAAGTTCACAAAATAACAACTGACATTCAGAAAAGAATACCTGAAGACATTTCTGTAGATCTACTGTATTTAATTATTTTTTCCAACTGCTCCCGATTCCTTTTGCTGAAGACCTTTGTATGAACCACCTCTTCAGAGTGTCTGCTTTTATTGCTCTTGCAGGGTTCACACACACTAGAAGCGCTTGCACTTTCATACCCTAATGGGAGGGAAGGAAAAGGGAGAAATAAACAAAAATAAACAGCTTACAAAAAGTTTTATTACTTTTCAAAATTTGTTCCAGGGCAATCTCAAAGATGCAAAACAACATTTACGAGGCAAACATTTTCTTCTGTACACTGAAGCCATACAGTAGCCCTAAATCCTCAGTGACTCCAACAGCACTGTCCCTCTCTTCTCATTATTTCACTGAAGAACATCTTTCAGCAGGTAACCCAGTTTGAACATGAAAATGTAATGAAGAGGAAGATTTTCCTGGTGTTTATTCTAAATCTTAGTCTATCTGCATCCACTGTCAATTCAAACCATGATGTCCTCATCAGTTATGCTTTTTATTTACTGAAATACTAAAAAACCTTACATATGTTATGTAAAATGAATTCGTATTTCAATGACTTCTCTTCATTACTAAAGGTACCATTTATGGAGAATAAATTCTCTGGAATGTAAAGATTATAATCCAAGCTGAGTTTGCCACCGTATTTAAGAATACCTTAATAATACCTACCAGTATTTTTAATTCTGCCTTTTAGCTGAGAAGCACTCTTTCTCTTATTCTTCGATTTGGGTGTTTTGTCTTTTGATGCCAAGCTGGCTTGTGCTGATGCTTTTCTCGATTTGAATGTCTTTGTCACAGTAGTGGGGTCTATTGGATCAGGCATGCTGCTGAAACTCTCCAAAGACTCTTCATCAAACTCTCTTCTCCTGCTCACATCAGGCTGATTTTTATGACCAGAAGCAACGTTTTGCACTGAAGCTGCAAAACCTGCTTTCAGCTGGGACTGATCCTCTTTCTTCGCTTCCTGGCTATCATTAAGCCAAGCTGATCTTTTTTCCATTTCGTCTTCAGGTTGTCTATGACTCTTTCTGTCAGAAAAAAAGGAAACACCACAATAGATCATAACGCAGTCTCTTAGATAGAAGTAGGATGTATTACCAGGCAAATACCTTTATCCATAATGCAAGTTATCTGCCCTAGTTATTAGTCATCAACTGAACATTGGAAAAAAAAAAAATCATCTAGTGAGAATCCTTGCAAATGGAAAACAGCTCTGAACAACCTGATTTAGTTGAAGATGTCCCTGCTCATTGCAAATGGGTTGGACTTGATGCCCTTTCAAGGTCCCTTCCAACCCAAACTGTTCTATGATTCTGTAAAACAGCTCAGTTTCAAAAAAGATGGAAATGAAATCTTCCTCTACTTCCAAAAAGTGTCACAAAACCACTCCAACAGTATATATGATTTTAAAATATCCTAAAATGATACACTAGTTAATATACAGAAAAGCAGAACACTTTACTGAAAAACAAAACAGTAAAAAAATTAAACTGGAAACTGCAAAAGTAAAGCTCATTTGGTAATTCCATTACAATAAATTCCCTAAAAGAATGATGAATTCCCACAAGCCCCAAAAAAGGGAGGAAAAACAATAAAAGGAGAGTTGCACTGTGACATTAAATACCTTTGTTTTTCTGCTCCATTAGAGGAACCGCTTTCAAAAGGTTTGGGGAATGACATATATTCAGTTTTCCCAGAAACATTCTGATCTAGAGGATGTTGTTGCTGCTCACTGCTGTGTGGGGAAATATTGTGTGCAAAATCTCCAAAACCAGAAGGGAACACTGGATTATAGTTAATACCTACAAAATAAACAAGAGAGTCAGGAGATACTACCTCATTTATCTGTGTGATAAAAGTCAAATTTGAGACATATAGTGTGGCAACATAAATTTATAAAGCAAAGATACAGTGGGGAAGTAAGAAAGCTGTTTTCATCCTGGAAATACTGCAATAATCAGAATTTATCTTAAATGCAGGTTTCAAACATTGCTGGATACTACACATGCCAGTGGAGAGATGAAGGTACTTTAAGAACCCTCAATAAACAGCTCCTACAAGTGAAGGTAAAAATGGCATCAGTTCCAAAAATGGGAGAGTTCTGTCTGCATGAAGAACTTATCAATACTTTGACTATCAAACTGACAAGGAAGTTACAATTGGACAAGTATTCACAGGGCTAAAGAAGTCATAAATTCATCATACTTATTTTAACTTTAGAACCTTTACAGTAGTGGCAAATTGAACATAACTATCCTTCTGTGTAGGTTCTCTGTAATTTAAAATATATCTTTAACAGAAAGCTTTATAATTTGGAAGCTACAATCTATATCTATTCTATTTTCCTGTTTTCCTCAAAAAGCTGAAATATACTAAGTCAGCTTTAACAACTTTTAATGATATAGTAAAATACCTATATTTTCTCCCATTTCAAATTCAACAATAAAAGCAGATTTGGTAATCACAGAATGGTTTGGGCTGGAAGGGACCTTAAAGATCATCCAGTTCCAACCCCCCTGCTATGGACAAGGACACTGGGTTACTGGTAATACCTGGTATTACCAGGTTACTGGTAATGAGATTAGGAACACTGTATCCAAGCTAACAGTCACCCTGTACCTCTGATGGGAGCAAAAATTAGCAAAACCCTCCAGGTATTTCAAACAAAACTGAGCGCTGAAAGTTTTACGGAAAAGAAATAATTACCTTAAAGAAATAACTACCTTAAAATTAGAAGGTTCACTTAATAATGTTCTAAGTGATTGCTGAAGGTATGTAAATTGTTTCAAGCATTACTTTTCATACGTTGGATGAAGAACATTTAAAATGTTAACTTTATCTAAAGTGGGTATTTTCGACTATAACCCAACTTCAGTAGGAAAAGCAAGACTTTCTCAGTAAGAAGTCAAAATCTACAACTGTTCAGCAATAAACATTAACAAACTTCTCCTAAGGTAGTACAGGCTCATTCAAGTACTGTTTAAGACCCTTCTAATATAAAGGCAAAGTCACAGAGTTCCAGCAAGTTCACATTAAGATTTCAACTAAACGTGGGAATGGAAATTTTTGAAACTCTTCTTCCTTTTCACATCTTTAGTAATACTCACCGGGAGCAAAGGAAGAAAAATTAGTGAATCCTGGTACATTAAAGAGGTTTACAGGTTGTGGAGGAAAGCTGAAGGGACAGAAAACAGGAGATGGGGGGGGTGGTGCACTACTGCCTCTCTCCTTTCTGGATGGCTTTTCTTGACACTGTTGCTCTTCTTGCTGGCGCATAAGATCATTTAACATTTGTTTCAACCTTGAAAACAAGGAAAAATAAGCACTTGGGGGGAGAAAAAAGGAATGCTAAGGGAAAGCTGCAAATTTATACTCAAGTAATTTGAGATTCATATTATTTCACCTGCTCATGTACATGCTTCATGTAAAGAACTGCTCCATTTAGCTAGTAAAAAGAAAAACCTCAAGAAAAACCAACTTGTATTTAATCTTGAGCAGCAGACAGGAAGTTTTAAAATCAACTGCTCTGTACTAGTGATCATGTTTAGAGAAGTTAAACATCCCAGATACTAAAAAAATAAGCAGGCTGAAAAGGAAACTTAAATAGAAGCAATCAAAGACACAAAATACTTGCAGAAGCGGCATTAAAATTACTTAAAATATTATATTAGAGGCCAGTAACTATATACCGCTTACCAAATACAAAACAAAGATTAAGAGCTTGAACTTTCATGCAATTAATTAAAATTACTATTAGCTTTTTGTTTTTTTTTTTAAAAAAATCCTTATTTAGAAGTACCTCCCAATGGAGCGGAAGTGAGCATAAATTCTGACTGATAACACTAAGAAATGACAAAAAGCTTTTTCACCATCTTTCCATAAGCATTAGAATCCAGACTCTTGCCAGGTAGCCTAGCGAAGAGTACAGACATAAAAGCATATTCAAGGAAAGCAAGTTTAAACCAAAAAAGCAAAAGGAAGTTACTTCAAGAGATTTTTTGGAAGAGATGCCAACTTTTGGTTCTCTTCACTAAAGATTACTCAAAAAGAACCACCTCAAAGGTAATAGAGCAGTAGTGAAAATACCAACCAAAAATGCTGTATACAATTTCAAAAGCTTACAATTAATTCAGAAGTTCAATAATCTCATATTTAACCATTACCTGTAATCTTTTATTCACATAACCACGTTCTCTGCTACTGAAAAATTTCAAATTCCAGCCAAACACTAATACAGCCAACAAACCTTTGGACGTTATTCTGCTGCCAAGTCAGCTGAGTGTAACACTGGTTTAATTGATGCATAATAAGATGTACTTGTGAAGATGCAACGTTATTGGGCATCATACTGTAAGGGCCTGTAAGCAAAGTCTGTAGGAGACAAGAGAGGGTCTGTGGAAAGAAAATACATGACAGTGACCAAATTGCCAAAACCAAAAGTTATTGCTGGAAATATTTAGGGGAAAAAAAAAAAAAGTAAGAACAGCAAAATAACTGTTCTTCACATCTACCTGCTGATCCTGCATCAAAGTTTGACAAATGCTGACACTAAATTCATGCTGTTTCTTCAACTGATTGATCTGCTCCTGCCATTGTTCCTTTTCTTCCACATAGGAAAGTTCAGACATCCACCGCAGGTTCTCCTGACGTCGCATACTGATGTTCTGCTGTTGCCTGGCCTTAGACAACGGACGGTAATTCCCATCTGCTGAAAGAGGACGGCAATTTTTCCACCTGGATGGGGGAAAATGGGAAGAATGAGGACAAAAGCTGACATTTCAAACAGCTTCTTCTAATGATACTTCCATTATTCAAATTACATCAACTCCTCACTTGGCACAGGCCATTTCAGTGTGTGAGGTAAACACCCATGTGATTTTGTCAGTCTGACATTATCCTAAACAAATGGAAAGTAACAGCCACCCACCCAACAACCTCTGTCAAAAAAGAACTGCTAAGGATATATTTGGATCTTGGTTTTAGTATCATCCATTACTGAGATATAATATGTATTCAGATGAAAACAGAAGCCCCCAACGTAATACTCTAAGGATTAAGCAGCCCAGCTCCTGACTAGAAGGCCACTATCTACTAAATTTATTTGGTATCAAAATCAGAGGAAATCAATTGAATTTCAATTGAAATCAATTGAAACACATTACATTTAACATGGCATTTTCATTTAGTCACAGAAAGCATACTCTATTTCTTAAGGAAATCGGTCAGATATATTAAATATTAAAAATATTCATGTTAATTAAAACATCCAATAAGAAATAGTTTTCGAAGCTGCTAAAGTAAACAACTTAAAAGCAAAAATTTCAGAGTTAGCTTAATTCTCTGAATGACTTTTTTTGAAGAGACTGATCAATATCATGGCAAAAATTTGATATCTTTTAAGCTGATTAAAACAACATGGGAACATACGGAGCTCATGCAAGACAACTGGAGAGCTCAATGGCAGATACTCAATATGGCCAAAACCAGAAGAAATAATCAAATTAATTACACACATTTCAGCTACACAGACTCGTGCAAGAACGCACCACTGCACGCTGCTCCCTAGCAAGCAGAAAAAAAAAAAAAATCATTTTGCTGTAAAAGGATGTCTTGTAATTAATGCAATGGTTCTCCCACCCCTTCCAAATATACTCTGATGAGCATCAGATCAATAAGTAATGGCACCAACCTATCCTTGTTTTCTTTAACAAAATACGCATTTTCTGGTATGTTGTTATTGGGATAAACAGAGAAACTGTCATTCAGACTTGATGCATCTTCTTCCTCCTCTTCTGCCTGACCAGCTCCATCAGAGAGATAACCATCTTCATCTCCATCCTCTTCATCTAGTGCACACTGGGTAGAACCTCCCCAGGTTGCCATTGTCCTAGTGAATGATTAAAAAAAAAGGGAAAAAAAAGGAAAAAAAGATAAAATAAAAAAAAAAAGAGGAGTGTTTGGGAGAGGAGGGGTTGGTTGGTTTTTTTGGGTTTATAACAAATTATTAGAATGATCTATTCACAATTACAACTCTGTCCATCTCCAATTAATCAAGCTGCACCAAAATTATTTAAACATTATATCACCAGTGCAAAATGAAACCAGTATTCTTCTGACACTGGGACAGTTAAATAAAATTACTTACTGTTTTGGAAAATTATTACTTTACTACTGTAGAGATGAAGAAAAAGTACTCAGAGCATTTGGCATTTTCCACACATTCTCCTCTCCCTAGGTGATTTTTCCCCATTTATGGAGCAGGGGAGACTAAATACTCCGGGAAAACCCATAAAACTGACAAGTTACCAACTAACAGTCACTTAGAAGTCAAGAAATTAATTTACTGCTCTGTTATGTCATCACATTCAGTGAAAACAGTGAGCTGCCCCAAGACTGACATCTCACTAAACAACAGAAGCGCCCACTAACACACGGTGACTCATATTCTTACTTTTCAGTCCTGCTCTGCTGCGGAGTTCGCTGAGCTTCTGATCCTTCACTTTTAACAGATGCAGCAACAGTAGATATGGTTTCTGCCAGCTCTCTCCTCCTCTGATGTTCAGCCATTAAAGCTTCAAGTTGCTTTCTCCTCTGCCGCAATTCTTCTCTTAAAATCTCATGTCTTCTCATCTCAGACCATAGCTGTTTGCAGTAAAATGGAAGACATTAGACTATAAAGAAAATAAATATAATCTAAACTAAAAGATATTAAAATGTCAGTATTTGATACTACACTGATACTATGTAATACAAATACCTGAACAAAAAGGTAACTAAAGTTACAGTACAGAAAGGTGCAAAATACATCCCATGTTTACTATTTATCCCAAATACTGCAAAATCTAAGAAGGTAATTCAACATTATAGGACAGGATTTTTAAAGAAAAGCAGTGCATGTTTCATTCAACACTGTTTCTAATCACTTAATTTACACATTCTTAGGTCTTGAAGTAGCATAACAGAATACTAGCCTCTGGAGAAATCTGGAAATTGTGCCAAATATTTCTTTTAATAACAAAGTAGAAGATACAACAAGGATTTTCTGCAACCTGAAGAAACTTCAAGTTGCGGTGTGTGTTTGAACAAGATTTAATGAAGCTGTGATTTTAAAGAAGAACACATAAAAGGAAACATACAGGTAGAAAGAGGCCTTTATCTGCCTTAAATTAAATACAGTGAAAGTATAAATGGCAAGATATTTTCACAAACATAGAAAAAGTGTAATGTAGAAAGCCAATTGTTTAAGCGAACTAGACTGGCAAACAAAGACCTAAGGGAGACAGGCAAGTGAAAATGTACTCAAGCCTGAAAGCAACTCAATTAGTTGGTAGTGCTGGAGCTAAGAACTTTTCCAACAAAAACCCATACCTATTTGGATAATTAGTAACCCAGCCTGTTTGTAGAGTGTTGGCAATTGCATCAGCACAGTCATTTTAGAGACTGTATCTTTTTAGCAGGAAGAATTCAGACCTTTATTTAGTAAGAAGGGACAAGCTGTCCTATAATGCTTATTTGGAAGATGGCAAAGTTCTGAAATTCCCTTCGTGATGGAGGAAAATTTCTCTTTTAATGACAACAGTACAGGCATAGCCCAATTGTCACTAAAGGAAAATTTACAAGATTGCTGATGCAACTCACAAAGTTTATTTAAAACAGTATTTTTCAGGTACTTGTCTCTTACATCAAGTCTAGCCAGAAAATGTTCTTCATCACATTTCCTTCCACACCTACAAGTGCTAGCATAGTTTTCAGAAAGCAATATTCAGGTCATTATTTAAAGCATTTATTTAGGAGGACAAGAGGAAAGAAGATGCATAGAAGAAACTAGATTTCAAATACAGCCATCATTTTCTTCATGGATGGCTTGCCAGTGGTATACACTATCAAATGTTCACAGTACAAATTTGTACACAGTACAAATTCAAAATTCTTCCAACTTTCACATTAATATTTGGCAATAACTGCTATATTTGTGGAAGATCTCTTGTCAGTTCGGGTCAATATTCACTTCTTTCCAGAAATGAAACAAAGTAGTTATACATACTTTGCTAAAATGGCTACTACTCCATTTCCCATGCTAAATCCTTTTTCTTTTTAAACCTTTCTTATGTCAGAGAATATCAAGTATGAACTACCTCATTGCCTACTGGCACAGATTCCTCCAATTCAAGCAAAGGTTTGCCAGCTGCGTTACACTCATTCATGCCCGGAGTTGAGGTTGCTGGTGAAATCTGCCTGTTCCCTGGGCAGCTGCTCAGGCCACCTGACAACTGGAAGAGAAAGCAAAAAGGCAAAATAGAGTAGAGGAGCTTTCTAAAATGTACCCACTGTTAAAACCCAACACAGTTCAGGTTTTATGAGATAGCAGAATTAGTATTCAGCGAGGAGATTTTCCAATCAAATACTATTTCAGAACTTAGCCAGGAATCAACAAAACTTATTTTTATGTAATATACTATTTCATAATGCTGTAGATGCCCAGTAGCGATAATTTACTGCTCACTTCATAGAAAAAAAAGTTCAACTTCAAAGAGTATGAGAAACAGTTCAATATTGCGCAGTTAAGTTCGAATACAACAAAGTGTTGATCTTGTTTACAAGACACAATGTTGGTTCAAAGTACCAGACCCTGCAAGTAACTACCAAGTGCAGTGAAGATGCAGTGACTACAGTACGTATGGACAGAATGGACAGAAAAATTTCAGGCTAAAGACAAGACAGAAGGTTCTCTATCTTTGAAGAATTTAGAACAAGGCTTTTGAGAACAAAACTCAGTGAAACTGGAGCTTGATACAGCAACTGCTGAGCAAGAACCTACAGTGGAATGAGGTGACCAGAGCTCTTCTCTAGGCTTAGAAGACCAGCTGCTTACAGCATAAAAATATTAGCAATTTTAAGTTCTTACTAATTTCTATAGTGAAAAAATGGTGTGAAAAATATTTTGGTTTGTTGCTCAACAGCTTAGAATAGCAAAGCAATACTTTCTACCTACTTGAAGGTCAGGACAAGCTTTCTGTAACACTTGAATTTTTTCTTGAATTTCAATCAGTTTTCTTCTTTCTTCTTGCAGCTGCTTGAGCTCCCGTTGCTGCTGCTGAAGTTTAGCTTCATAAAACTTCTCTCTGCGTAAATAAGTTAACCACATGTTACTTGCCAAGAAGTTGCCCAAAGCATGATTCTACTATCCTTTGACAAAGGCATACCTTGCTTTTTCATTCAGTCCTGCATCCTTTTGGAACTTGTTGGTGCTGGCTCGGACGTTGTTTGGTTGTTGCTTTGTCTCTTCCATCTCACCCAAAAACAAGTCACCAATATTCGACCCGTTTGCAATTGCTGCTTGAGGTTCTGGATCATCATCCTGAAAGGGTGTCAGAAAGGCAGTTAGGCCCTTATTGAGTTGATACACAAAATATAACAAGTTTAATTTGTCAAACTAGTTTTTCAAAACTAAGCAGTCTGAATAGCTTTATCTTTAGTTCTAATTAAGATTGATTTTGGAACCTTTATGTTTCCGATACACCTCTGTGTATTCAGTATGCAGACACTGAATCAGACTGTGCCCAAATGTAAACATTCTGTAGGAATATTAGATTTAGAAAAGATGTTTTAGTAAACATCACTAAATTAGCATGAGATATTATATTGCTGCTTGAGGTTCTGGATCATCATCCTGTCAAAAAGGCAGTTAGGCCCTTATCAAGTTGATACACAAAATGTAACAAGTTTAGTTGCTGCTTGAGGTTCTGGATCATCATCCTGAAAGGGTGTCAGAAAGGCAGTTAGGCCCTTATTGAGTTGATACACAAAATATAACAAGTTTAATTTGTCAAACTAGTTTTTCAAAACTAAGCAGTCTGAATAGCTTTATCTTTAGTTCTAATTAAGATTGATTTTGGAGCCTTTATGTTTCCGATACACCTCTGTGTATTCAGTATGCAGACACTGAATCAGACGGTGCTCAAATGTAAACATTCTGTAGGGATATTAGATTTAGAAAAGATGTTTTAGTAAACATCACTAAATTAGCATGAGATATTATAAAATAAAAACACTGCAATTCATAGCTGGCTCTCAAGCCTAAAGAAAAACTCCAAGAAAACAAGAACACCCCTTAAACCCAAACCAAAATAATAAAATAAAAACACTGCAATTCATAGCTGGCCTTCAAGCCTAAAGAAAAACTCCAAAAAACCAACAACACCCCCTTAAACCCAAACCAAAATACCCCAACTCAAACATATTGCAACATCTGAAGATTTTAATTAAAACCAAGTAATTTTTCCTCAATTGACTGAACAATGTTGCAAATCCTAGGATTCAAAACCTAAACCAGATGAATATATAGTATAAGCTTAAAAATGCAGACCAGTATTATTTAAAAAAAGAGTATTAGACTTCTTGGTTGATATTTCATAATCCAGTGCTAAGGTTAAGCATTAAGACCATTCTTGGGTTAGTTTAGCATCCCCCAAGAAAATTCTAGATTTGAACTTCAGAACTATCACCCCTGACTGCAGAAAACCCACACAGAATCTCTTCTTCCCAGCCTAAAAACGATCTTTTAAAATGTTACTCTAAATAGTGTTTTTCCCTATTAAAAGTTATACCTCACAGGAAATAATGAATGCTACATTTCCGTGCAGATTGATACTCATAAAATACCTGCACCATAGCAGCAAGGTTTTGTAACTGTCTCAGTTTCTGTTTGGCAGCTATAAGCCTATTGATCTTCTGCTCAAACTCGGCGTCTCCAGCAGCATCACCCAGGCTACTTCTGTGGCTAGATACAGAATCTTCACTAACTCTATCTTCTTCCACTTCATCATCTTCCCCTTGGGGTAGGTCAATATCTTTGTCATCCTCCCTGTTATGACAGTCTGGAGGTAGGGAGAGGAAGAAACAAAAGAAAACAGTACAAATGACACATCGTTATTAAACTTCTGAAGTGCACTGTAATTACTGGACATTAGAAAAACATCCGCTTAATGATTAGACACTTGAACATTTTCCTCATCAAACATCTATCAGAATTATTTGCACTAAAACTTAAAATTATTAGTATCAGAATTATTTGCACTAAAACTTAAAATTATTGGAATATTTTAGAACATACCTAGAGTTGAAGACATTTTTAGACTCCTTATATTAGCAGCAGATCTGTTATTTATTTCACAGTCTGTATTAAGATGTCTTCCATCTCTGTTATTAGTTCCACACTGTACATTTGAGTTGCTATTTATTTCACTCCAACTACTCATTCCTTGAGGGTTTCTAGGGTAAAATACATTACTCATGTTAACTTTTAAGTCAATGGAATTTTGCTCCAGTTATTTTATTAACTGGTTTTTACAGGAATGTGTCCCAACCCTTTAAAAAAAAAAAAAGTCAACCTCATATAAAACAGTCCAGACATTTGGTATTTCTCAATATTCATCTCTCCAATAGACTTTTTTTTTAAGCAATCAGAAGCAGTTATGAATTACTAAACTCAAGTTGGTTTTGATGCCCATTCCCTAGTCTAGGCCTGTTAACCTTCTAATGGAACTTCCTACACATAATTCAGTTAAACCCAAAGGAATTACAGATTTTGTAGTCTCTTATAGCCATTTTCTCAATGGTCAACCTAATTGACATTTACTATATAAATAAGTTACCAAGGACAAGATTATTATGAATCATCTGCATAAGAACACTACTTTGGAAAGTTAATGTTATCACAGAATTAAGTTACTTCTGGTTGACGGAAACTTGTTGCAACTTAACTACAAAGATTTAGGAGGACAAAAAGTATGACAACCTGATATTTGTAACAGGCTGTGGATCCTCATGTTCAGAATCGCTTTCCGATTCTTCTGTTTCTTCCTCTTCCTTAGTGTTTTCGTTGACAGCATCTGTCATCATATCAGATGTTTGCTCATAGTAGTGAACTAACTCACGTAACTCATTCAGCCTCTTACGAACTTCATTTAACTTTCTGAAGAGGAAAAAAAAAAAAAGAACATGCTATGTATAAATTAAATTGTGTAGAGTTGAAAACTAAATATATATATATATAAAAAATATAAAGCTTTTAAGGTTTACTGACTTTTTCCTAGCTGTAAGAACCTTCTGCTTGAAGCTCTGAACTCATTTAACTGTCTTGGACCATTTACTGAATTGTCTATAATACTAAATTAAGTAGATTAAAATATGAAATGGTTTCTTAACATAGAACTTATAATACCCCAAATCACTAAAGCACGTTATGAAAAAAAAAAAAAAAAAAAGAAAGAGCTTTTACTGAAGCTTTTCTGTTGGATTTAGGTTGTCATCCTCTTCACTCTCATTCTGAGAAACCAGGGAATCAGGAGGATAAGGAGCAGATGCCATGGCATTTGATTCGCCGTTGACCACAGTAACTATGCCCACTGGGCCAGAAGCAGCTGAAGCTGTACTTCGTTGATCAATACTCCTTTGAGGAGAACCTGAAGCAGGAAAAACTACAAAAAAGACATATAGCTCGTAAGAACAACTTGCAAAGGGAAGGAACCTGCTAAACTGAATTACATTAAAATATAACTACAGAAAATATTACCAACATAGAAAACAGCAGTTCATAACTTCTCTTCTTAGAAGAGCAAATGCTTTTGTCTTAAATTTCATGGCATGCAATGCCAACAGGCAGAGTAATAAGTAGCTTTTGTAAACAAGACTTCAGACAGTTCCTTTTAGCTTTATCACACTTCAGAAGTGGAAGATTTCATGCTCTGAATCTGCCCAAAGAGTTATTTTAAGGTTTTATTTCTGGCTGAATTGCTTTTTTCAAAATTTAACATTTCAACACGATAAAAGTTCTATAATTTTTTTTCCTCTGCTAAGCTCCTGCACCCATATGCTATAGAATGCAGATTTCAGATTTTATGTTTGCTTTTTCCAGCTACACAAAATCATGTCCAAACATGCTTATATAATATTTGTTAAGTATATGTCAAAAGATGGGGCTATAGTAATGTAACTATTAAATCAATCTGCCCTCCTCCAGGACCATGCTTCAGGTGTCTCAATTCTAAGTGTTAACCAGAATACACTGTGATCACCCTCGAGAAATTTCCAGCCATAGGATAAACTTCACCAGTACAAATGTTATTCTAGAAATAGAGAGCAAGAGCAGCAAGTAGGCCTACATAAAGACTTTAAGCAAAACCACTCATTATCATTGCTTGTAGAGCTCTCCATTAACCTAGAAACTTATACAGCATTAAAAAACATCTACATAATTATTGCCCCAGCACAGCTTTATCACCTGCATTTCATTAACCAGTTGCAAGCTGAAAGACCACATTACAAACATTCACATTTAAAAAAAAAACAAAACTGTATTCTTTCAAAGATACAATTCTGCCTATGTTTACTTACAGGAGGAGTTATTCAGATGTTGGTCACGGAGTGTGTGAAGTTCTCCTAACAGTTTGTCCATTTTTTGCTTTTTTCCCTGCAACATTCGCATCTTGTTAAAAAGCTGTGCCTTCTCCTCCGACAGGTGTTCGGACACTGAAGAGTTTCTGCTTTGGGAAATCTCTCTGGTAAGCGAAAGGCTTTCTGCTTGCCTTCTGTTGTCTGGCACAGACTGGGTCTAAAAAGAGTAATTTCGTTTTACTCAGACTACTACAAAAAAAGCCACATACACTGTAAGAAACAAAAAGCTCCCTTGTAGGCTTGCCAGCCTCAACACCAGAACAAAGAACATTATACAGGGAAACTGATACTGAAAACAGTCTCGTGATATCCCAACTATATATTGAGTTAACATATAATTCTATTGCAGTATAAAAACTACTTCGCTGGACTTTCATGGAAAACTGAGAGGTAGAAAGTATAGATCAGTCAGATGACAAGTCTTCAGAAAGATAATAGGCTTTCAAGTTTGGGAGAATCCTAATTACTCCACTAGCAAACGCCCACAAATAAGCAAGACAAACATTTGACTGCACTGTTCAAAAGAACATTAAAAAAAGGAAAATGGCAAAACTTACACAGTGCAAGGACTGACCTGAGAATCATGAAGCTGGTTATGAAAGCGCTGAATTAAGTCATTCAATTCTTCATTCAGTTCTGATGTGAGGCTCACTCCTGAAACACTACCTGTAGTCTCTGTGACAACTAGGCATGCAGAAGAAGGAGGAAAAAATGTAAATACTTTTCCACAGTGATGAAATAAAGGCTATTTGATGAAAATTTCTGGTTTAACAAGAACATCAATATACTGTACCCCTTGACATACAGCGATTATTTTTAATGTTGTGTCCTTCCCACCAACTTAACACTTGAAAGATTATTTCCATTGCAGAAATGCTACCAAGCCACTCACAGCTCCTTTCTGCAGAACCACACAAAAGGATTTTTAAGTCCATTCTGTGTTTTGCTAAAAAGGTCAGAGCAAAATGAAAACAATCAAGTTGCCTAGAGTTGATGAAAACATTTTTCTTGTTAAAAACAAAATGGTTATTAACTTAATACAGCCAAACCAAGAACAGTTCATGTAATTTTACTTCCTTAAAACAACAAATTAACAAGACAGCAAGCTTTCATCTTGGTATAATTGTAATCTTTGCAGCTGTAGTCTTGAGGGTTTGTCCTTCTAAGAGAGGAATATATTAAAAAGAAAGCTCTCCCCCACCCCCAAAAACTCAGATTCAAACTGTACTAAAACATGGAACTGGCAGTTGAGAGATGCAAATATCTTCCATCAACATGAACCAATACTTTGTAAGAAAAATCAGGCACAAATATTATTTATTTTCCCCATAGATCATGGCTTTTTTACCTGATTTAGTCACAATAAGTTTTACTATTATCAAATTAAAAACCAATTATTTTGTCCTATGTTGGATTTGAATCTTTACATTTCCTGCCCTATAGTTGTGGCACATACCAAATCCTAAAGTCAGTCAACACAAACAGCAGTAAGAAACTGTCATTAAGAGTGACATAAATGGAAATGTGAAACAAATAAAAACACCACCAAAGAATTAAAAAAAAACCAAAGTAGTTCTAATTTATCATAAGCAATCCTATCTTTTACCTACGTCATGAGTACATTCCTCATCAAGATGGAGTTTTATATATTTGAGGAAAGAAGGGAAAGCATCACAGTGTTACCACTATGGAGCAGACAGGAGAAAAGCAACTACTGAAAACCATTTGAGAAAAAAGGAAACACCTTTCGATGGCACCTGCTGCTTTTGCTCCTGCAGTAGCTTTCTAGAATCTACCTACCAGCTTCTCATCCCTACACTAAAAGCTAGAGTTTTCTTAACTAGTTCCATCTTCTTTCCTATATTCTGTTGAATCTAGGACAGAAGAAAATGCAGAGAGGAGCTCATCAGAGCAAAGAACCTTAAAGGGAGACTTTTTGTAAACACAGAAATAAATGGTTATATTCCTGTAAATTAAGCAATTTTAAATCCAAAAACTAACTGTAATAAGAACTGCTATCCCATATACCCTCTAATCATGCCCAAGGCAACACTTAAGGGGAAGAGTCATGGAACAGTAACACAAACTGAATCCTAACCTGCTCAGTGCAAAAATGTCATTCCCTACGACTGCACACGTAACTGTACCCCTTTTCCAAAGAAAACTGAACAGGATTTAGGGAGGGGTGAAGGGCAGGACGAGTTTCCAACAAAAACCAGATAATTCACATGTCAACAGCACACAAATCAAGGCCAACCGTATCCCTGTCAAGACTGAATTCTTGAGAAAACAACTCTGCTGACAACCTTTAAGAAGCTATCAAAAAGAATCTCTGTCCCAAAGGTAGGTTTTGAAAAATTGGGAATATATGAAAATGAGTTGAAAGAATGCTTTTAAACTGAAGGTTAACACATAAAGGTGGTGTTCTATTATAAGAACCATGCCCAAAATTTACATACATAGAATTTCAGGATTCTAGTTTCATATTTACTTCCATAACAGGTTTAGCAACTTCCTCCTCTCTTTTATTGGATAAACCATTAACATAACAGTGGCTATTAAACTGGCAAGCAACCAGCCATCAAAAAAAAAGAAAGAATCCCATGAAAAAGCAAACAAAACTTCACACTATCAACTGCCTATAGCCAGAAGGATGCAGAAAGTGAGAGAACACTCTGTACACCCAACTCTGATTCTTTCCTTCAAAGGCCTGGTACAATGACAGAGAGGAGAGGCAGACTCCTAATCTGAGGAGGTAGACCGATTTTTAGGAGAAAAATCCACAATTTTAGGATTTTACAAGTAAACCACAGATCAGCTGTGTGGTTTTTAACTGACAAATCATTTTACAACATTACATTGTCAACTCTTTTCAGAAACAGAAGCCTTGCAGTATTTTTTAAAAGTGCACTATAAAAGACTTTTTAATGCCTATTCCACAATTCCAGCTTTAATAATTCATTCAGCATGCTGACATGCTATCGACAGCCAGCCATTCCACGTACCGGAATCATCCATGACAGCAATTGCTTGTTCTGCTTTATGCTGCAAAGCAAGAAGAGCTGCCTGTCTTCCTTGAAGAGCCTTTAATTGCTCCTGCTGTTGTAGCATCCTTTTCAACAAATCATGTTGCTTCTTCAAGTTCTCCAACTCCTCTTTAGCTTCCTGTTGAGGATCTCTGGCCTGCAAAATATGGAAGAGCATTACCATAATCATGACAGTTTATTTGTTGAGCACTAGTGATCAAAAGTGTCAAAACAAGCAGGACTTTAATAGACTCAAACAGCCTAGTTAGTCTAAAAAGGTGAAAATGAAACACCTTCACCTTCCCGGTAGTCCTTTTCAGTCTAAAAATTTTAGATATCCAGTAGGGAGAAGCCTGTTCCACCAAGACACTCTTACCACTCCTGGGGGTTAAGTCTCCTTATCCAGGTAGCCACCCTAACATACTCCAAGGACTAACCCAAGCATCCCTCCAGCATTTGAAATGACAAATTCACAGAAGAGCACATGAAGCTATAAGACTGGCAAAGCTAAGCAAGATAAGGCATAGTATCATGGAGCTACACATAACACAAGATCTAGATTGATTTACTGACCTAAAATTTCTAAGTTCTCAGCAGAGTGTATCTAGATTGATTTACTGACCTAAAATTTCTCAGCAGAGTGGTTTGGGCAGTTATTCTTCTCTAACCTATAGCGTGTTTAGTTTTGTAACCTATAGTGGTGCCATAAGTACTATAACAGACCAGATTTAGGTAAACCAATTTCAAAACAAAACCATGCACAGAACCCCCTCTATACTATATTTTCAAACACATGGAATTAGATCTGAAGGAACAAAAGCATGTTTGGCAGCTAAAATGTATATAAAAACTAAGTTATTTTCCTCATTAAAAGCTGAAGATTTGTCTCAAAACTTTTATTCGAGGACTGTTAGCAAATTAAGTACTTTAATGGGACATCCAGTTAAGATTTAAGCCTGTTTGAAGTTGGATTATCGCACTGTGCAGATGAAACCATGGAAAAATTTGCCTCCTTTTTGTTAAGAGTTGACAAGTATTTAAAAAGAATAAAACTAAGTTATTTTCCTCATTAAAAGCTGGAGATTTGTCTCAAAAACTTTTATTCAAGGACTGTTAGCAAATTAAGTATTTTAATGGGATCCTAAGCATGTCTGCAGTTGGATTATTGCACTATGCAGATGAAACCATGGAAAAATCTGCCTCCTTTTTGTTAGAGTTGACAAGTATTTAAAAAGAACATTACTAACTTAAAAGTATCATCTTCTCTCTACATAGTGCTGAATTCCTAAAGTACAAAATTCTCAGTTCAAAAATTCTGCACTAAATGTCAGAATAGAAGAACACATCTTATTAACCAGTTCTGGGTACCAGGGAATGCTCAGCTTTCCAGCAGGGAAAGGAGAGCACATCCAGAATTCTAAATGTCTCAAAATGTCACTAAAACACATACTGCAGCTGGCACTGATTATTCCTGTTAATTTTTCATCTTTTATACATGTAGTGGAGCAGAACAGAATACACAATGAAATCAACACAGGAAGGAATGAGGGGCAGAAAGGGGGAAAAGGGGATGCATCTCAGTCTCGCTCACCTATTAACTAAACCAAGCTTTAGGTAAAGTACCAGATTTGCTTGAGTTCATTAAAACCAAACAACAAAGTTTTCAAGCTTAGTTCTACATTTAGACTAATAAGCTTGTCAAAACATTTAAGTTTTTTATTTTACAGAAAAGAAATGATAATTTAAAAAATAATCAAACCTAAGACTTTTTTCTTGTTCTTTTTTTCAGAGTAAGAGAAAAAGCCACAGAAAAAGCTGGTAACAAATAACAAAAGAAGCTTTAGACTCCAAGCCCCTTAGTCTTCCCTTTTCCAATAAAATATTTATATAAACATCTATATAAAAAAACCCACTTGTGGAACAAGTTAAGGTTACTATTCTCTAATTTACTTGCTCCATATGGTATTAGCTTAAATTTGCATTGGCAGACTATTACCATAAACATGACAAGTGTCTGAAAGTCACATTTACAATGTTTTCCCAGAAAGAGAACAGTAAAACCAGAAGGATCATCTACATAAAATCAGAACACCTGCTGCACAGTTACATGTCATACTTTCTCTGTCAATGTTGACACTTCAGAAGAGAAAGTTCTCAAACATTTCTATTTCAAGGAAAACAACCCCAAACTCTAGGCAAAGAAGGTTCATTAAATGAAAAGACAGTGGGATACAGACAAAGAGACCAAATGGGAACATTCAGTGTAAGTAACAAATATATTTGAAGCAGTTAACAGGAGAAAAAAAAAATTAAAACAAAATCAGCATGTATAAACCCTATTTGAGGCTAAAATAATATTTTGAAGTGTACCTTTGAAGTCAATCCATGTTCTTGGCTATTAATCCTACAAGGCCAGATTTCCCTGTCATTCAGAGCAGCTCTGTCACTTTTCCCTTTCGGGCTTGCTGTAACATCAATGTCTGTAACCTGTTCTTGTGAAGCTGAATTCCCTAGTTTGTCCTCAATGCGGGGCCGAATGCTCAAACTAAAAGATACCTCCTTTATTAAATAGTTTAGTAGGTTAGATTTTGAACATGTGCTCCAACTTAGCATGCATTTTTAAGTTACAAACCTACCCACTTGTATCTTGTCAAATAATGAAAATGAGTATCAAATAAAATATACTAAAGAGCAAAGACATTTTTAGTCATTCTTAGAATTTTCATAACAATAAGGCTCTAGACAGCAATTAACCTTCTAAGACTAGACATATTCATTCTGCATATAATATATTCAAGCTGCATGTTAACAGAAATTAGATGCAAAATGAAGAACCAAACATTAAAATTAAACATCATTTTGCAAAAAAAAAAAAAAAAAAAGAAAAATGCAAGTTTACATGCATACTACTTAAAAACTATACCTGTCTTTTTCTGCATTTTTCAATATATTTCTTTTTTAAGTTAAAAGTACATCTTCCATGTCTATCACTTTACTTCCTTACAGGGATAGAAAATTTCTTACAAAGCTAAAAATAATTACAAATACTTCTTAATGTTTTAACTGCTGTTTTACATCTAAACGTGTAGATTCTCCTCATCTGTAGAACATTCATAGTAGTAACTGCCGAAATGAGAACCAGCTCTTTAGTACCTTTCCTCAAATATAGGTATTGGAAGATGTAAAATATAAGTTGTTATTAAAATGCTTTTGTATCTACTACAAGAATTGTTCACCATGTTCATTTAAAAGCTTTTATAAATAAAAAGGAAAACTGACTGTTTCAGAACTAAATTCAGAATACATTTTCTAAAAGGTACTTATCTCTCCAAAAATGAAGAGAAACTTCTGTGTTAGGTCAATACCATCATATCACTAGAAAAATGCTTGGGCAATGGCCCACTAATGACCCATTTCTAACCCTCTCCTCACCCAACACCACCAAGTTTACCCTGCTAAGAGAAAGAAACTTATAGATGAAAAATTGTATATAAAACTATTGCTTCCTATATTAATGCAGTGCATGCTCTACTAAAGTAAACATTTAACCTTTCATCCTACTTTGGAGAAAGACTGAAGATTGTTAAGAAAACTAATCAAGCTATATTGTTGTGACAGAATCATTTTTTTCCCCATATAAAAAAAAAAAAAAGTAAATCCACACATGCATAAACATCTCCTGAACAGAGTGTCTGGAGACTCACTAGTTTTTAATTGAACTGCAGATTATGACACTATCACAACAATCAGGACAAGAACAAAACTAAACAAAGTCTTCATTTCTAGCACCTTAATTACTAAAAGGCAGCTTACCGTGGTATCTGAAGCCTCAGACTGCACATCAATGTTTAGCGATGTGCTCTCACCTACAGAACCAGATCCCACAGCTGAATCTACAGTCCGAACATCATCATCCTCCTCATTTTCTCTAGCCTGAAATATTTCATTGGCATAAATCAAAAGCTATATAAAGGGGGCAGTAAAAATGAACTACGGAAGGTACTACATATCAAACCAAACCAACACCCCCAGTAGCACCATCAAAACATCAACGGTCAACTCCTAAAAAAAACTTACAATGCAGAAAAAAAATATATTATGTTCTTAAACTTACAAGCATCTTTTGCAAAAATTTCAGATAGGATTTCTCCTGCTCTTTAAGGTGATCTATAAGGTGTGATAAACGCTCAACATTGGCCGATCTTTCATTTTTCTCTACAAGATCATCCCGCATGGAGCTGGCCTTAGCAATATAGTCGCGAATCTGAACTAGTCTGCTCACAATCTGTAAAGACACTGCAGTTACTGAATGCATTCAGCTACAGCTTTAACGTATTTCACGCACGAGACACAGTGACAGCAACAGCAAAGTAGTAATTACAGGGTGACATACTAGTACTTTCAATCCTATAAAGCACACTTCTGCAAGTGGTTAAAAGTCAACAGCTTTTATAAGCATAGATTTATGCATGCGTGAATTTGCAAGGCTGAAGCACGGGGCTTCTTGTTGACATAGGCTAAACACAATTGAGCTCGTTAATATATGAAAATATTAAACTGTGAGAGTATCTTCTGGAACCATATAAAAGAGAACCAACCTTTAGGTTGAAAATTAATACTGCTTCTGTTACCAACAGAACCAACCTTTAGGTTGAAAATTAATACTTCTGTTACCAATAAGCAGCTTTCTAAAGAACAATACATGATTAAGTTTGGTTTCACATTTTCATCCAGTTGCCTTTTAGAACAGTGGGAAGATAACCATTTCCAATAAAGATTTAATAGTTATACTTCTTAGAAATTTAGAAAGATGCAGTGAAAAGTCACAAGGTAGATGAAAGCTTTCTAAGAGTCAATATTCTGTAGACTTTAGAGGCCACGTAAATACCTGGCTACTATCCATAGCTGGTTCTCTCCTTCCATCTTCTTGAGCAGAGACTTGACAATTTTGTAAGAAATCCTTGCTTAGAGCAGCTCCAAACAACTCTTTACATTGCACTGTTACCCCACTTTCCTTTTTTTGGGAACCTGAGGCAGGATCTTTGCTTTTGTTAGTGTTTATCTGCAGTGACAGGAAGTTGAATGGCTTTTTGTTTTCATTAAGTTGACGTTTGTTGTTAGCAGCTGTTGCCCTGCCTTGAGAATCACTTCCAATGCTTCTCTATAAACAAAAACAAAAAAATAAAGAACAATTGTGGGGGCCCTGCCTTGAGAATCACTTCCAATGCTTCTCTATAAACAAAAACAACAACAAAAAAAGAACAATTGTGGTTTTTTTTTTTCCCTCCAATATATTCTCAACACTGATCAGTTTCACTGCTTGGATTACCAGTTCTGCAGCATTATTAGAATGACTTCAAAGTTACCTTATTAGTCACTGACTAGCCAAAAGCTAAAGACAGTGCTGATTATTTTCACCATGTAGTTGTCAGAAAGTAAGCCCACCCTCCTGCTGTCCCAGAACAGCTGAGAAGCAAAAGCTTTCTGCATTTCTCAGAGCTTAGTTCCTCATCCTTGCTGTGGCCTCCACCTTTACTATAGCGAAAGGCATCCTACTTCTCCAGGTACATTTGAGAGAATAACAATAATAAAAGGGCAACATATTCACTGGCAGAATATGACACCTCCTAACTTCAGCTTTTCCTTAGAACCTTATGAATAGCAACTTGTTGCCCTAACGTACATTTGGGGAGGAAGTTAAGCCCAGTCTTTATATTCTAAGCCAAAGCAATGAATCGCATTTGAAAGAATCTTCACAACCCAAACAAGTCAACAACAAACTTTGGCAAAGATTAACAAGCTTCTATTCTGAAGCTGTTAGCACAAATATACGCTTTGTTACCAAAGAATTAATCCCTCATACTTTTGATTGTTTTGGACAAGGGAGGGGTGAGTGTGCCATATTCCCAAAGAAGCAGTTACAGCTCAAGAATTCATGCCACATATTTCTCTACACTCTACTGAGCAGTAGTTTTTAATGCTACTCTTTTGCTTAATCCACAAGGATAACAACGTTCAGAATCATGAACTGGCACTTCAAAAACAGACTTTCAAAATAAGGTCACAGATATTTTTTAGTGGCAGACAAGTACGACGAGTGAGAAATACTGATCTGAGGACACGGGGAATTTGTTAACGATTGAGAGGGAGAAAGTGAAGAGAGCTAGCATACTGTAAGCACAGGAAAGCCCTGGTCCTGAACTTTCCATAATCTTCAAGTTTAAAACCACAATTATGATTTGGCTCCCTATAAACTTTTTTTTTTTACCTTAATTGTTTATGAAAGCTTTCTTTATTCATCTGTCAAATTATTAAGAGATAGCTGAATAAATGTCGTCATCATATTTATAGAGGGAGTGAGTATTCACACAAACCTGATCCAGATCACTGAAGTTTATTCTTTGCTTAAGCCTTTCTAGTTCAGCCTGCTCTGGAACAGACATCTGGGTCATGTATCGAGCATGAGGAAAACTATGAGGAGTTCTGGTCTTCCGGCGCCCCATTCCAGGTGAGGATTCTGGAGATATATCATTAGTCAGCCTTGTTTCCGCTTCCCCACCAAGCTTCTTCTTGTTTTTTTCTGAAGATCTGTTTGCTTTTTTCTGTTGACTTCCCCAGTCCTTAAGGGGAAGGAGAGGGAAGAAAAAACATCATATTTGTTATCCACATAGATAAAAAGTAAATGTTTTAACTCAGTGAAAGAGTTTACTTTCATTGTAGAAATAAAAATAAAAAGTGGTATCAAAATATGCTGCAGTTTTCTAGAGCAAACGTCACAGTACAAAAGATAATTTTCTCCACTGCCTAAATTAAAAATAGCTTGTAAGGAAAATTTAAACCCATTTCATCCAACTATGCATTACATTAATTTCAAATGAAGCTAAAATTGTATTTTTCTTCTTTGCTGAAGACTCTTCTGCAGTTTAGAACTTTTAAAATTAAAGTTTTCACTTTCATGACACCTACAACGCTTTTGTGTCTAGTTGCTTTATTTACACAAAACACCACCCACAGATACATCTACAGACTGAATTACACTCATCACTTGCTTACATCTACCTCAATAATTTTTATTGGTTTTACAGATACTTACCTGCAAAGCTGTACTGACAAGGCTTAGGGTTTTTTTTGCATTGTCACCTGCCACTAACAGAATCTACATGGTAATTTTAACGTACAGCATCAAATGGCAACTGAAAGATAAGATGAATTATACCGTGTTGTTCAGCCGGTCATCAAGGCTCTCGTTGCTCCAGCTCGGCAAGTCCTGATCATTCATGCCTTCTTCAAAGGGACCACCTCCTGTTGCCATGACAAGTAATCAATAAAAAGGCAAAGCTGTACTGACAAGGCTTAGGGTTTTGCATTGTCACCTGCCATTAACAGAATCTACATAGTAATTTTAACGTACAGCATCAAATGGCAACTGAAAGATAAGATGAATTATACCGTGTTGTTCAGCCGGTCATCAAGGCTCTCGTTGCTCCAGCTCGGCAAGTCCTGATCATTCATGCCTTCTTCAAAGGGACCACCTCCTGTTGCCATGACAAGTAATCAATAAAAAGAATCTAAAAGAAATAGTTGAAAGAAATGCGCTGTATTAAAACCAGTTCATGTAGAATATTTTAAAGATTCATAATCTGGTTTTGCATTGTCACCTGCCATTAACAGAATCTACATAGTAATTTTAACGTACAGCATCAAATGGCAACTGAAAGATAAGATGAATTATACCGTGTTGTTCAGCCGGTCATCAAGGCTCTCATTGCTCCAGCTCGGCAAGTCCTGATCATTCATGCCTTCTTCAAAGGGACCACCTCCTGTTGCCATGACAAGTAATCAATAAAAAGAATCTAAAAGAAATAGTTGAAAGAAATGCACTGAATTAAAACCAGTTTATGTAGAATATATTAAAGATTCATAATCTGACAACTACATATTTATTAGAAAAGGCAAACACAAGGCTGGTTTAGGAAACTAAACCCCTTGTTTACTAAACTGTGTTACTAAAAATGTAACAGTGAGAAGAACATAGATACTGGCATTAAAAATTAAACAAGAAGTAGCTGTGGGTTTGTTTGAGGTTTTTTTACCTCTTTTTCTTTTTAATCCTTGCTCCTAGAAGGTAAAGAAAAAAAACTCTTTTTGAGGCTCTCAGTTTTCCTCACTCTACACCACACTACCCAGGGCTTGGAAAGACTGTTTCGTGATTCATAAAGCCTGCACTTTCAGGTCCAGGGTGATGTCCATTTGATACACTAAGTGGCCTTGGAGACCTACTAAGTCAAACTTTCGTGTTTATTTCAATATTAAAATGCTGAGAACTGAGAACTACACACACAGAAAACAGACATCAGTAAAAGGATTTTCACTGTCTTTACTACAGGTTAAGTTATTTAAGCAATGAATGCCATGCCACTTACATTCCAGCTTCTAGCAAAACCAAACAAAATAATTTGGGTTTCCTGGAGCTTTGCTGCTCTCCAATAGTGACATTCTGTGCAGTATAAAGCAATCTGTATGTTAAAAGTCTTCATTTTCACGGCTAGTCTTGACATCAGTAACAGAAGCTGTTAAAGCTGAAACATCAGAAACAAACTACTCCTTTATAGCAGTAAAATTAGATTAGCTTGTTGAAAAAGGTGAAGAATACATAACTGCATACGCTCTCAGGCTGCAATAAAAACTGTGCAGCCAAAGTGCTGCTGGCACAGTTCCACTGCACAAGCTACAAAGTTTTTTTTATAACCACTATGGAAGTCTGTTAGAGATACAGAAGAAAGACAGTCTTGCAGAGAATTATTTTTTCCAGCTATTTTTAACTGTTATGTTAGGACGTGATCCTAGCTTTAAGTGAAAAAAATATATTTTAAAATACCATTTATTTCTCAAGATTTTACTGCAAGACATCTACTATAAAATTTCACACTGTGCAGGTAAAGAAATCACCTAAAACTCAAAACCAAGAAGTTACCTAAGAAGGTGGGTTTTTTCATAATCAGTTCCAGGAAAAAAAAAATTAATCCTGAACTAATTATAAAAGCTGTACTAGTATACCTATCTTGCTTGGGTATAGTATTCAATCAAAATCATGCACTACAGCCCCCTCAGTAGGTGCACAAAGCAGTGCTTTTATACAAACACAGCCTACTACTATACCATTAAGGAAATGGAAATCTACCAGTTATGCTCATTACAGCATAACCACATCTCTACTCGGCAGCGTACCAACCTACATCACACCAACACAGCTCGGAGGAATTCAGCTCGTGCAGCTCACAATCAGAATCACACCACAGGTACAACAAAGCCTTTGCTACTTTGGGAACCAGCAGATCTGTGCACGACCGTCCTCGCACATTCATTCATTCTCCCTTCTTCGTCCCAACAGAAGTGCCCACGAAGCCACACAATCAGAGGGCACCATCTATAAACTAGCTAGCCAACAAACAAAATGGAAATTAAAAAAAAACCAAACAACAGATGAGTTCTCAGCTGGATGAACTCCTTAATCTGTCTAAATTTGTGACTAGATAAGAACTGTTTACAGGCTCAAGGAAGGCAAATAAAAGTCATGTCATCGGGAGGAGCAAAACCCAGATAGATCAACTGTAAAACCACACCTTCTGTGCACATTTCACCCAGGTGAACTGTCAGATGTATTTAGAAAATAAGAACACAATGCTCTTTCGTGTTTTGTTTTCATGTAGAAGCACAAGCATCCCATTAAAAGCTCTCAAGGAAGCTGTCCTGCCAACTCAAGGTGAATTTGACAAGCATTCAAAACAAAGTTATCAGTTTAGCTAATTTTAGAAAACAGCTATGTTTTGTAAGAACTCACTTCAGTTACAGATAAACTGTGCAGCTTCGTAGATGTGCGAGCCCCAACATTTCAACTGGTACTCTACCCTGACCTCTACCACTAAGCATAATGAGTTCATCTTGACAAGATTAGAGGCCATCTGGGTTTACAGTCCAATTCTGTAAGCTGTTTCCTCATCATCATGTTATATAATTCTACAAAAACCATAGCAAAGGAAGTTTTTCCCCTACTTTCCACTGTAAAAACCAGAAGCGGCAGTATTCATCTTTACATAAATACAAATAGTTTTTGTGAAAGTTAAAAATGAAATAAAATGGTTAGCTTCAACTCTCTTTGCTGTAGGAGTCTCCGATTATCTCTGAAGTAAATTCACTGCCACAGATGGAATATTCTGAATAATATTCTCAAACCAGGACACCAATGCACCCTACTAAATACAGCTCAAAAATAACAATATCCCGACTACTTCCAGCAAGCTGATTTTCAAGTGTTCTAACAGAACTGTGCCCTTCCCAGAAAGCAAGTCTCCAAACATTCATATTATACTCTTTGATATTTCCAAATGAGTTACATTCAAGTGAGCTTAAGATCACAGAGTTATGCTAGTATTTTATCCCCTCAATTCAGTTAAAAACACAAAGAGGTTCAACCAGCTTTTTTCTGTATGAAACTCTCCCATACGAAGCTGTGTTTTTCACCTCCAAACACACACTTCATTAATTCATATTTTTTCTTCCTTTGCGTTTTACCTGCTAACTCCCGAAGAAATCCTCTTATAAAAGCTTTGGTATCCTCCTGTCAGGCTATTTCTGCATCCAGCAACCCATTACCAATCTCAGCTTCCTGCATATTATAGAATCTGTATATAAGCTCTATTTGACTATGCACACACTGACTTACAACACTTACTAGGGATCTGCGAAAAAAAACTTTCAAGTACATTTTCTACAGAAACAGTAACTTAAGATAACATATAACACTATAGTCAAAACATGTTAAGATTATAGTCAAAACATATTTTCTACATGTAACAGCAATACACAAATTGCTCAAAAGCATCACTACAAAACATGCTAACAAATCAAAGATACGTATTTTTAACAGCTTTTTTTCAGCAGCGGAGTTGGTTTTGACATTTTTTCCTCTATACCATTCACACAAACTGCAAGAGCTCTGAAGAGCACTAAACCCTGCCCACAGAAATTTGGGGAAATTAAAAATTAAACAGAAAACAAAAAGTTGTAAAAAGCCAGCATAGAGCCATAAAGATGGGTTCAAACATTTCTTTAAGTTAGCTTTTGAGGGCACGCACTCACTGACTATTAATTTAGCATTAACTCACTGAATGCCTATACCATTCACACAAACTGCAAGAGCTCTGACGAGCACTAAACCCTGCCCACAGAAATTTTGGGAAATTAAAAATTAAACGGAAAACAAGAAGTTGTAAAAAGCCACCACAGAGCCATAAAGATGGGTTCAAACATTTCTTTAAGTTAGCTTTTGAGGGCACGCACTCACTGACTATTAATTTAGCATTAACTCACTGAATGCCTATACTGAGCGTTGCCAACCATACAGTACCATCACACAGGAGCTGACAACATCCCCTCTGGTTGCACCGGCCAGCCCTCACACCACCAAGGCACCAGGAGACCTGCAAAGTCAAACACCCGGACCAAGGGAGGGATAGAATCATAAAACAGTCTAGGTTGGAAGGGACCTTTCAAACCATGGGAGTCCAATCATTGACCTAACGCTGCCCAAACCACCACTAAACCATGTCCCTCAGCACCACATCTACCCATCTTATAAATACCTCCAGAGGTGGTGATTCCACCACTTCCCTGGGCAGCCTGTTCCAGTGGTTGATAACCTTTTGTGTGAAGAAATTTTTCCCGATGTCCAATCTAAACCTCCTCAGCGCTACCAGCCTGCCGAGCCCTTCCCGGAGGCTCTCCCCGCCGCC